AGTTTAACAATAACAATTATCAAAGTTTAATATTCCTTAATATATCATGGGCAAGGTGATGAACAAAGTACTAAAAAACGGTTTATTTAACATTTGATTCGAAAATTTTGACGGTTTAACCAAAATTGCAGTACTTTTAAATCAATATTATTATTGTTTAAGTCACTGTTAATAATTTAAAGTTATGTAAAATGAACTGCAGCAATTAGAAGTGATTTCACCAATTTTTGGTAAGAACATAATTATTTTTCTGGAAGGGGGTATGCAGTATAGAAATTTTAAATTTTGGTACAACGGGTGTGTTAAGGAAGATTGATAATTTTTTTTATAACTTTTCACCCATGAGCTTAGTGCCGGATTGAGGACATGTGGGTCCACCGGAAAATTTACAAAATGGGACCCTGTGGTATTGTACACAAATGTTCTTTGGGTATTGGTCGTTTCTTTAAAAAATGATAAAATTAGATTTTACGATTTTCGTTTTGTGAATGAAATGTATTTAAAGCGGATAACTAACGGGGAAAAATGTAGATATTTTCAATTTCTCAGTATAAGCTTAATTTCGACTGTTTATGTTTAACTTCAACCGAATTCGACTATTAGCACGTTCAGATTACAAGCATCAGCTATTAAAAGAAAATGAAATTTGGTCGATTTTGTGTTCTCTAGGCAGAGGAAAGGACTAACTGATTAATTTGACGAAATTCGGTAAAAATGTAAGGTGACTAATACACTTTGATTAACGATTAACATGTTTCTAATAATCTTAAAATATTTCCATGATTTTACATCATTCGGTTGTTAGATTGTAAAGTATTGTTACTCGTATACCTACAATGTTGATTTTTTTTTCCAAAAGTCTGGATGTTAAGGGTAAAAATTCAACACGGATTCATAAATCACGCATGCAGGAATATGTTATTTCATAAAATTTAAAAAACGTTTGTTCGGCAGAATTATAAGATGACGTCATTATTTTTTGGGAAGGCTTTTAACGAACAATAAACAACGTTTGCAATACTTGCAGTATATTCGCTTTTGCAATTTTAAAGTCAAATTGTAAAATACAATTTTGAATTTTTTCCCAAAAATCTCAATGACAAGGGTAAAAACTCAATACGGATTCTAGATTAAACATAATTTAAGAAGCATTTGTTCTGCAAAATTATGAAATGACCTCATCATTTTTTAGGATGCTTACGATAGTGAATTTCACCCCATATTTATTTTGTTTTTTAATTTATTATAAGGTGCTTTACATTGTTTTTTAAGAAAACAAGCCAATTTTGAGGTTAAAGTGTTTTTTTTAATTTTTTTTTTGCAAAAATCTCAAAGTCAGCGGTTTCTATATGGACCCGCTGGAATCATGGTCAAAATCTTTAGATTTCCACAACTTTTTAAAAAATAATCTTAAAAATGGGATGAGACGTTAAAAAGATACATTAAAAAAAATTCATAACAGAACTTAACTTTTTATTTTATGAAAAAGTAAAAAAATTCCATCGTCAAAATTGATCTGTTTGCTTAAAAGAATGATACAGTACCTTGAAATAGATGAAAAAATAGGTAAAAACTAGCTTAAATAAATGAAAAAAAAAAGTTGGTTGAAACGTACCATTTTACTTTCTACTGATTTTAATTTAGAAATTTCATCTAAAACGTCCAATGTTTTTGGAATCATCCAATTTATATTTGGTGTAGTGTAAAATGGTGTCATTATCATTTTAGAAGAGCATAAACGAAAAAAAAAAGTTTCCAAGTTAGATTGCAAGATGTTGCAATTTTGATTTTTTTCACCAAAAATGTGGATGTCTAAGATAAAAACTGAACAGACGTTCATAAACTACATGTGCAGGAGTATTTTTTTTTTTATTGAATTGAAATCATATTGATACTGCAAATTTAGGAGATGCGTCAATAAATTGTTGGTAGGGATGATTAGCCAAATTTTGATTAGCGTTTTACCATCTGCACGATATTCGTAATACACGTAAAATTTGACAATTGGTTCAGTAATGTCGACGATTATCTGTCTAATAAAAATCCGGACAGACAGCAGACAGGCAGACAGGCAGACAGACAGACAGACAGACAGGCAGGACAGACAGACAGACATACATGTGTTGTATAAAAAACAGGAGTAGACTGTTTCGGAAAATTTCCCGGTGTCCCGGCGGCACAACCCGACACTGCATGAGCTAACGTATTGTTAAAGTATATTAAAATATACAAATTAAAAAAAAGTCTTTGTCCCACTATAATATCTAGTTGGAATTATTCTTGTAAAGATGTCTTTCACGCAGAAAAACAAAAACTCTAGGAATTTTTATTTATTTTAATAAAACTCAAAAGTGGATTAGTAGTAAGTGGAAAGTAGGCTACGGATTTTTAAGTTTATCGTAAAAATGGTTAATCGTTAGTCAGAATTTATCCAATTATTTCTTTGGAAAAATTTTGCCGAATAGATCTTATTAGATATGATTTATTTGGCAAAATATGCAAATCTACGCTTGTAGTTCATCAAAGCGTTCATATTTTTTTAGAATTACTTATACAGGATAGCTTAAAAACATTTGCACATGTGACAATGTATTTTATTGATTAAGTCAAGAGCAGCACACCCTATTTTCCTGAAAATTTAAGTATACAGTATTATTTTATTAGTACATATATTACACTGCACTCATTCAAACTGATATATGTATGTGTCCTCCCTTAAATGTTGATGACGTCATTCCAAAATTTTCAAATGGAAAAACTCATTTGAAACTTACGGATAGCATGCTTCTTTACGTGTAAAAAATAAACGTTTAAAATTATATTTGTATTTAGTTTGGGATGGAAGACAATAATCCTCTAACCTTTTCAATTTATAGAGGTTATCACAAAAAGAATATATATAATTTTTAAAGAAGTTAGATTTGTTGGACTGTACTTCAAGGGCGAGCGAAGTTCTGTCTAAACAATGTTGGATCAATTTTTTTGAAACTCGTTTAGTCTGAGCAAATTTTCGATTACTAAAAAGAATTGCGAGACATATTGTTGAATATCAGTTCAACACCTTGTTGGTCGTATTTTAAAACATAAGACAGTGAAAATAAAATTTTCTAATTCGGTGTTCTTATAATAGAATCACATTAATCCTACTTTCTTGCAGTATTGTTTTGTAGGTTGGTATTTCTGACTTCATAACAACGTGGCATAATTCAAAATTGAAGATAACTGATATTTGTCACCGCGTCTTTTTTAAGTAAGATTTTTTACTTCTGAAGTCTAAATTTGTAACGTAAACTTACGCTTAGTCTCAAAGCTGATTTAGAATTGGAAAGAATGAGAATACAAACCTTATTTCTTAATTTCACGTCAACCGTGACATTTGTTGGAGCTCGGTGTGCCAACATTCGACAGTAACTTGCATGTCTGCCAACCAAGGCTGCAATTTATCTAAATTTCCTTAGAAAAAATATTATAAAAAACGTATTTTATAAGGTCACTGTTACACTCGTCCTTGAATTCCTGTGATAATAGTGGATCTTATAAAACCTGTATATTGATATGTTATTTTACATCGATTTCAATCATAATTATGACACAAAACAATTTCAAACGCTTATTTTACATTTACATCAAAATAAAAATGTTTAATTTTTTAACGACCAAAGTAAAACTTAAACAATACAAAGTATATATCCAAAAGTTTTTAAATATAGTGATTTGTATTCACTTACTTATGTGTATATGAAGATTTGAATGACAGCGAGCCAGATGGTATTGTACGAAAATTTTTTTGGTCTCTGAGGATTTATAAGACTTGTACACTTTTTTGTTAATTAATATTTCTGTTCATTTATTCATATTTGAATGTAAAAGGCAATTATCCAACTGTCACGTATTTATATTTTTATCTAATGAAATCATAATGGTGATTTTCACTGTATTTATGGGGTCCATAACACACTAGTGTCTTACAATAAACCCATAAGACACTAGTGAAATTTAAATCATTAAAAACAGTTTAGTTTAGAAGGAGCCCGAAATAAAAAAATAAAATCACTTGTTGCGATTGATGTTAACATTTATGTTAAAATATATTTATTTAATTATCTATGTCTACTATATCAATACCATTCCACTTTCATTAGACTTTCTCTTCTCTATTCATATTTGCCGAGGTGATTCCTTCTATTCCTGAATTACACCCAAGATCAATCTTACTTAAAACCGATTCTTAACGATTTCCTTCGGGCGTGACGTTGGAACATAGTAAGATCCCCCCAGCATTAAATAATAAAGTTGCCGAAGTACGTCGCATACTATGCCCTATACGCACTCAAAGTTAAATCTCATCCTTACCAACAATTTATTGACGTCATCTCCTAAATTTGCAGTATCAATAAAAAAAATTGGGTACTTCTTTTAGGAATTGTTCAAGCACTTTTTTTTTTAACTTGTAAGTTCTAGATTCGTTCGAAAAAAGCAATTAATTTCCCATATTTTGAAATATCTGTGTTCTTATAAATCTTCAAAGTAATTTTTAATATTGAATATCAATGACTTAATTTTAGTGTTGAACAAAATTATATCTTATTAGCAAATAAGTCATTTAAGAAAATTTAAACACTCGACCTTCGGTGTCCTGTCGGAAAATTTCTTTCATAACTTATTTGCTATATGAGACACTCGTATAATAAACTATGATTTTAATTAATAATTTTGCAACAACTGTAATGTGTCATACTACATTACCTTTCCGTATGTGGTTCTGATTAACATAATTCTTAAAATCTGACAAATATAAATATCAATAAAAAGTAATTTGCAACATTTAATTGGGAAACTAAAAGAAATCTTACGTGGTATGCAATACTTTTATACAAAGAAATAATTGCCAATTAAACGTAACCTCTAATTACCTACAAGGAAATTATACTTCGGTAGATTGTGTTCCACAGCATCCATGTCTACTTAATTTTTGTGTCTATTTCAAATTAATTTTACAGATTTAATAGAACATTAAAAAAATTATGGAATCCGAATCCGGAACCACGAACACCAAGATTTCCGATTCCGGTTATTCCAATAGCTGCAGCAACAGTAATTCACAAAGAAGGTAAGAATAAAACATACTGTATAGAACTTTTTTAATACTCTTTTAGTGCAAGTTCTAAGTCAAGGCACAGTGGAAGTAATTCAAGTAGAAGTAGTGGATATTGCGGTACTGCCAATCCTGACGAAAGGTATTAGAAATACGATTAATGTCCACTCATCAACTACAATACAATACGACATTTTTGCTTGCAGAAATACATTTTCGAAAACGATTGCATTTTTTAGGATTTAGAATTGGACCTTTTTTTATTTACTGAGTGTACGTCATCATGATATTAAGTATTTGCTAAGATTATGAATTATCACAGTTTTTATTAAACTATTTGTATCTTTCTACAGTAATGATTCGAAAACATTAGAGCTTTTTCTGCCAGTTTTACAGTTCAGAGGCTTAGTGAATACTTCAAATGTCACTTTTGTGTTATTTTTTTAGTAATGTAGGAAAATAAGATGTGTGAAAACTGTTACAGCCAATTTCAGCATCTTGATTTTCATTTTCTGTTTTGTGTTAATTTACTCCTTTGTCATCAACTTTTATTTGCTGCTTGTATATACAGTGGCGTACCTAGAATACTTGAAGTGTATTTATCAAGCGACATAACAAAGTTTTGAAGACTTCTTTGAATGAAGTGTTGGTGGCACTTCAATCTATTTTATTTTCCTAATTGCGCCACTGTATATATATTCAACTTTTTTTTCTAACTCAATGTTATTAACATTCTACAAACGACACTATACGCATTTTATAAACATCTGGCATCACTACGTCTAACTTATTTATATGTAACAGTGGCGAAATCGGTTTTCAACTACCAAAACGCAACAAAGAACACAAAAAGAAAAAATTAAAGACAACAAGTTCCAATGCTAACGTGACCAATATTTCATCCGTAACTGCGACTGCCCCTCCAGATAACAGACACACTTGTTTAACACTAATAGAAGATACAAACGAACAAATTATGGGTAAGAATATTCTTGTCAAAATGCAGACATGACATAGTTACCTTTAGGTGTGGAAGTACTGCCAGTACCTGTTGCAGACACAGCAACGCCAGTGACTGATGCTGTAGAAAAGAATGACACTGTAGTCAGTTTATCTCCAATGGTGCCAGTCACAGGTAATAGTTATGCAATATTTCTTGCGAAAAACTCGCTAATTAATTAAATCATATAATTATTTTGCTTTTCTAACAAAATTCACAACTTTTTACGTTAACACACAATGATTAAAACAAATCGGGTTTTTGCGCTTGAGCTTGGTTTAAAGATTCAGGTGTAACACATTGCCTGCGGTATGTTCTTTTTGCATATGCCAGCGGAGACACCTCCTCCACCTAAAGAACCATGGCCTGACCAACAGTGTCAACAGAAGGAAAACGAAAGTCCTTTGGATATCATTACTACGTCTATTGAAACCTCAGGGGACAAAAGCAAAGTGTCGTCGTGTCAACCAGAAGTAACAACGAACAACTTTTTTTTTAAAATCTTTAACTAATTTCGTTGTAGGGTGGTTTTTGTTGTGTGATCTCCATGTACGATGGTGTTGTGTTATACACAACTCCTAGTTTAACAACAGTATTGGGTTTTCCTAAAGACATGTGGTTAGGGAGATCCTTTATAGATTTTGTGCATCCCAAGGACAGGGAAACTTTTTCTAGTCAAGTTACCACAGGTATTGCCTTACCGCTCGTAGATTCTCAAGGAAAATATAAAGGTAAATTGCCTAAAATACCCTTTTCACATGTTCCTATATTATATAACCACTTCGTAGATATAAAAAATTGTTTACATGTTTGTCTTCGAAAGTATAGAGGGTTGAAATCGTCTGGTTTTGGTGTTGTGGAAAAGGCTGTCTCGTACCAAGCTTTTCAGCTGACAGTGACTTTTAGACACTTAACAGAAACCCCTGATTCTAAAAAGTTTTTTGACACCAATGGTGGGATGTTTTTAGTAGTCGTGGCCAATCCCATCTTTTCTTCCTACAAAGGTACGTACTTAAGGTCTGTCGCGTTTAGTATGCAAAATTTCTGTTTTAGTTCCTGATGAAAGAGTCAAATTTGGCAAATTTGGAATGAGGCACACTGCCGCATGTATTTTTAGTCATGTGGATCCCGATGTAGTTACGAATTTTGGATTTTTGCCGCAAGATATGTTAGGAAAATCTATTTTCGATTTTTATCACCCTGAAGACATGTCCTTTTTGAAGGAAGTATACGAATCAGGTAAACTTAACTATTTCTGGTTCGTAGGTACACCATGTTGATTTTTTATTTCTAGTTATGACTATGTGCCAAATTGCTGGATCAGTTTTTCGCAGCAAGCCTTATAGATTTGCGGTACAAAATGGTGGTTTTGTTATGATAGAAACCGAATGGTCTAGTTTTGTTAATCCATGGTCTAGACGACTGGAATTTGTAATTGGTCTTCACAGAGTTCTTCAGGTAGATACATCTCCTTGCGAGCATAAATTTTTTATAGTTCCATGACTTGTTTACAGGGTCCAAAAAATCCGGACATTTTTGATCAAAATCGGGAAGACGAAAAGAAATATATTCCCGAAGAAGTTATCAAAGAAAGCAAAGTGATTCAAGGTGAAATTTTACTACTACTGAACAAGGTGAGATTTATATGTTAACAATATGTTTACGATGACCTTGTATTTACAAAGAATATATAAATTATATATATTTTATTTGTAGGAGTTGTCAAGGCCGTCTGAGGCTGCTAAACACGAAGTGTCTAGAAGATGTAAAGACCTTGCTAATTTTATGGAATATCTTATGGATGAAGTAAACAAAACAAATTTACAATTAGACTTACCTCAAGATACCGATCCAACTATTTCGGTAAGTCTAAGACGACGGGTAAGTGTTTTTTTTTTGTTTTTATTTTTTTCGGGGATGGGTAACTAATTTGAAATAACAACATACTTACACAGTTTTTGTCGTATATAGTAGCGTGTTTGTCTTGGTGCTTCAATCTGGAGCGCATTTGTTCTGATGTTATAGCAAGTTAATTTTTAGGAACGAGATTCTGTAATGCTTGGTGAAATCTCTCCTCATCACGACTATTACGACAGTAAATCCTCTTCTGAAACTCCTCCAAGTTACAATCAGTTAAATTATAACGAAAACATACAAAGGTTTTTTCAAAGTAAACCAAAAACAACTGCTTCCGATGAAAGTAGTGAAAGACCAAGTGCTTCAAATGATACTGACGCGGAAGGAAAAATTATGCCTTCTGTACAGCATTGCACCACCAATCAGTACGTCGACTTTAAATATTTCTCCTTACATTTTGTTCTTTTTTTTTAATTTTAGGAAATGCCTTTCTCCTGTTGAGACCAGTGGAGCTTCTGGCAGCGGAAGTGCAGGAAATCTGAGTTCCGTCAGTAACCCGAACATGGAAAGTGCCACCACAAGTGCGACTAACACGTCCAATGATTCATATAAACCCCTCCATTTAACAGAAGCAGTTCTGTACAAGTACGAAGCTACAATTAGTTGAAGGTTATCTTGTTTCTTATATAATCTTTAAACAGGCACAATGAGGATATGGAAAAGATCATGATCAAACGCCACAGAGAACAACGTTCAGTGACAAGAGACCGAGAAAGCAAAAAGTCGCATCATAAAATGGATAAAGTGAATGTTAGTGATAAAAATAACTTAGAGAAGAACGAACAAATAATCCAAGGTCATGGGATTAAACGCAGCGTCTCCCATTCTTGGGAGGGCGAAAGTCATAAAATTTCCAAACATAAACATCAAACGGGTCGTTGCAACTACAATGGTAATCATGAACAATCAAATCACATGCGGCCGAAAGCTTTCCAAACTCAACAAGTGCCCACTAATAATGACACCAGCAATGGCAATACGTTTAAGCAAGGGGTTCGTTTTTAATTAGATGGTACGGTCATTTATTCTTACGCTTTTTTTTTTTTTTAGCTCAATGACGTGAATTTATGGCCGCCGTTCTCGGTTACTGTGACGCCGATGAACAATACCCAAGCCATGAATGTTAATTCCAATCCAAATCCATTAGGTGGACTTGCAACAGGGATGTTTCCAGTTTATTACATTCCGACTCAGCAACGGAATTTTGACGGAGACGCTAACAATCCTTTAAATCCGTCTAGATATCAAGGTAACACAGAATGTAAAAACGCAATTCTGAATTAATGCCGCTTATTAAATTTCAAAATATGCACGTGATAAATTAAAACTGGCGGCTGCACAACAATCAATAATTCTCACTATTCGATACCATGTACAGTTAGCAAGATTTCGTTTGTTATATTTTCTTAATCATTAGAAGTCAGTAAGAAGTTTAGTTAATGCAAGTCAGAGTAGGCAGAAAATAAATGTTTATATTCTAATTTTTATTATTTTATTTTCAGTTCAATATATGCCCGGGATGGTCTACAATTACAACCCTATATTTCCTGCTTCCCCTCTAATCTGTTCACCTCTACCGGTCCTTTCGATTCCTGTAACTCCTGTAAATCCAGATATGTCCCAAAGCAAAGCCCCTAATCCCACAGTGAGTGTCGAAGTTCCAACCGAACATAAACCGAGTCCTCATAGTGTGCGTTCAGTTCACCAGTTCCAAAGACCAGCATCTCAGGCCACCTCTGTTAAAGCGGAACCTGGAAGTGCGTTGGGATCTATAGCGTCGGCCAGTGTTGCTAACAAGGTACTTTAAGTTGCTAGAATTTCTATAGGTATAATTTTAAGTATCTAACTAAAATGGCATTGGGAGCTTTTCTGGAGTTTTGATTTTGGGAATACTTGCAACTACGTTTTTTCCAGGCGATGTCTGAATGTTCACGCAAGGATTTAACGCTTCAGTCAGTTTGTTCGCCAGATTCTCCACTGGTTAGTCCTCCCGATGGAGAGACCAATATGGAGAATTTTCATTTGAATTCGAAGGTTAACACACATTCTGTCTGTGTTTGCATGTTGTAATCATCTGTAGAATTTTCTCATTCTTATAAATACCTATAACACTCTAAACTGACACTTTTTTGTCTGTATGTCTTATCATAACTGTTAACATACTTACCTCTGGGCCAAAGTAGCCTTTAACAAAAGCCTTTTTGGAGGGTACTTCATATTAATGCTTTTTTGTTGTGACCCATGATGCGATTTGAGGTAAATGATCCCACCATTCACGTGAGTATAAATAAACATTTTTGTAAATATTAACAGTCAGTACCTATCATTTTGAGCATCATTTAAAGTCATTACATAAATTTAGTTTTCTGTAATGTTAGTGAATCAGAAATGCTTATAAACTTTATCATTCATAAATTTGTTACATGCTTTAAACATTTTTGATACTTTCAGATTTCTAATATAAACGAACATGGTGCCACTCTTTTTCGACAAAACAATGTGATAGATGATGAGAGCTGCTTCTCATCATCGTATTCATCATTCTTGAAAACTGATTATGGATCAGGATCTAATGATGATACGAATGTTACCGAAAGCAGAATAGTTAAGAAAGATGATGTAAGTTGCTGCATAAAGAGAAAATCATTAAATACACGTCGTGAGTTGTTTGTAGGTTTAGTATCATTTTATCAAATATCAAAATCAATAAAAGTTAAATCAAAATATCACTACCCCCACACTTTTAAGTTTGTTTTGTATACTACTCAACTTGGAATAAAATCCACGACACCCAAAATTTAGTTGATTCAAACGTAAAATAAATATCAAAAATTGCAACTTACGACGTGTTTGTATGATTATTATGAAACATTTGATATTGTTTTGCTTGGTTTAAGGCATGCAAGGATCGTAAAAGTTTTCCAGTTCGAAAACGAGATCCACCGTGGTTGGAAGCTGTTAGCGTAACTCCTGACATTATATACAAATATCAGATGACCGTGAAGGGTTTGGATGATATTCTTGAAGCAGATCTCCATGCTCTGAAAAAAATAGATCAGGTTTGACCTAATATAATACAATTTGTAGCAGATCAAATAAAAAAATATGTTGTTACTATTTAAAAAAGGGAAAGCATATGCTATCAAAATCATGTTTAAACCTGAAATTATGTCTAATAAATTTTGAAGTGAAGTTTAACGTAGGCAAGATACAAATCTGGGATTGGCCATTAAATTAATTTACGTGATAATGAAAGAGATATTATTATATACCCTTTGAGCACATAACAGCATACATAAAATTTGGATATTAACTCTACACAATGATAAAATGACATGGAGCTATAAAAATTGTGATTGCAGCCGATGCTGGTGAACGACCAATTAAACCAGCTTTATATCGAAATGGAATTAGAGGGATTATCGACGAAATTAACGTTGGAGGAAGGAATTACATCAAGCAGCAGTGGGGATGAAATTAGTACTAACTCATCAAAAGTAATTTTCTACTATCATCGTTGAGTTCGCTCTCTGATTTACGATAAAATGTATTATTGCAGCCGAAGAAAAAGAGGAGGTCCCAGAATGCAGTGATGATGATGTTTTATGAAGAAAATGCTCCGTTACCTTCTCCGAATCAGACGTAAAGTTTTCCTACAAACAAACAAATGTTACTATTTTTTATAAAAGGAAGTTACCGTGTCTGCGCATTTGCAGCGTTTTCATTTTTATATTTTACTAAAGTCGCAAATTTTGATGTTGTGAAATATACAACCGACTTTATATACTTTCTTTTCTAAAGTTTAGATAAAATGTGTATAAAATATAATGAAAAAATGTGTGTAGATGGTCGCAAATAAATATTTAATTAAAATAAATTATATTAGGATATTTTATTTGTTCACACCTCTTTTTGAACGGAAATAACTGAAAAATTTGTACGTGATAAGAATGCGAAGTTCTTATTTTTTTGTTCGTTATTCGTTTTCTTAAACTGACCGGTGTATCTTAGATAGTTGAAAGACTATTTTATCAAGAAAAAAATGTTTGTCGATTATTATGGACATTAACATTGTTCAAGGATTTTCTCGCTGTAGACGGTCGTACAATTTTAAAGCGGATTTACGTGGTTATTTGACATTTTGTTTACATTTCAGAGACATTGCCATGTTTTATCTACATCGTTATTATTTATAAAATCTTGCATTTATTAAAATCAAGATTTAAAAAAGGTTTTGGATTATATTTTCAGAAAAAACGGTGTTGTACATTTATGGTTCATAAAAATATATATGCATAAGGTAGGAAGAGTATTCTATTTTGATGAAAATAATTGAGATTGAAAGATATCTCGTAAGGGTAACAAAAGATTAGAAAGACGAAAAAGGCAACAAATTGAATAAGTTGACAGAAATCATGATGAAATTGATAAATGATGTAAGAGATTATTTCGTTTACATTAACAGACCAGAAAAAGTATCAAGAGGAAATTATAACGACGAGAAATGAAAATAAGTAGGAATTAAAAGAAGAGAATGAAGACATGCAGAATGATACAATCAATATGAGAAAGAGAGAGAATTCAGAACAAAAAAAAGATAGACAGCTACAACAGACAAAAATTAAGAAACCTTCATGATACACAAACTTGTAGTAATAGTATAAGTCAAAGAGGCCATGAAGATAGGACAGAAAACGTGCAAGATTAAACTACAATATATGCAAAAGAAACGCGAGATAATGGCAAATAAAAATAAATAAACTGAAGACAGTGAAAAAGATACAAAGAACGTAGAAATGCAATAAAAAATTCGAAGGAAAAGAATAAGGGAAGAGAACTCAAAATTAAGTACCAAGAAAAAACATAGACGGAAAGGAATGGAAATGGGAAAAAAAACTCGAGTAAAAGAAAGCTACAAAAGAATCTAAGCGGACCCAAAAAACTAAGAAACTAAGATGAATAAAGTGGATATGAAGAGAGAAATGAATAAAACACAAGAAAAAGAATAACAATTGGTAGAGGAAATGACAATAGAGACATCAGGAATTACGAGAACAAAAAACAAAGGAAAAGGTATGACAAAAATACGTACAGGATATTGGTTATTATGGTCAGGGATTAACAAGGTGAACAAGAAAGAGTGGAAGAAGGGGTAGAATTAATAATAACACCAAATGAGCTAAAGACACAAATAAAAAAATATTAAATACAGAAATGAAGATATCTGACGAAGAACAGTGGACAATTGTAATACTTTGTGAAAAAATTGGTCGAAAGTTGTTTCGACAGAACTTCCCTCGCACCGAAAGTACAATGAAACATATCTAGCATTTTCGAATTGAGTTTTTACTTTACACAATTCTGTGATGACCTCATCAACATTTTTGCAGGGACACGTATATGAACTTGGATTAGTGCAGTGTAGTACTTGGTAAGATAAGACTGATTGTGGCAAATTACATACCCCCTACTAAAATAGAGGGCGGATGGGCGGGGCTAATACTTGTTAAAAATAAGATTGATTTTGGTAAATGACTGAACAATATTATTACGAGTAATCACTGGAATAAAGAGGGGGTGGATGGGCGGGGCTATTGCTTGCTTATAAAAGATTCTGTACGAAAAAGTTAAATTTAGCTCCACCCACCCACCCGTTATCTCATTTTTTTCTTCAGAAATAAGAAATAAATTTTATAGCAAATCAGTAGTATAACAAAAAAATTACGATTAACGCTTTTTTTAAAAGCCTACGTTCTATTAGTTCCCATTCTCACTTTACAAAAGAAGATATAATTCATCATGCCCACCCATCCCGCGTCCATTTTAGTGGTTTATTTTGTCTAGTCCGAATTAAACGTGGATATCAATTAAAGAGAGATAAAATCGTTAGAAATCAATAAGATTGATTTTGCTAAATGCCATACCCTCAAAGAAAATAAAGGGTGCGTGAGGGAGGGGCTCGTACTTGCTAAGATAAGACTGATTGTGGCAAATGACATACTCTCTAAGAAACTAGAAGGCGGGTGGGCGGGGCTAGTACCTGTTAAGATAAGATTAATTTTGGTAAAAAATTTTTAAGAAAAAAAAAGGGTGGGTGGGTGGGGCTAAAACTTGCTAAGCTGGGACTGAACAATATTAAGAGTAGTCAATGGAACGAAGAAGGGGTGGACGAGCGGGGCTACTGCTTACTCATAAAACTAGAAAAAATCTAAAATTTAGCCCCGCCCACCTCCTTTCTTCATTTCACTGACTTATTTTATTTAGTGTAAAATGGAAATTGAAAAATAACAGTAGTGTATTTCCAAAACTTTCTCAGGAAATGGAGTGAGCCGTTCCTGATTTATTCAATAAAATAAATTGACACATTCATTAATTTTTTTAAGCTACCTGGTTAAGCAAATTTAAAAAATATGAATCCAATGATAAATTAGAAGTAAAAACTCATTACATCTTGCACATTTTGGGTAGAATTTATTCGGCAAAATTTTTGGGGGAAATAATTAGATATATTTCGATTAACGATTGACCATGCTTATATTAGCTTTAAAACGTCTGCAAGATTTCAAAGTATTCAGTATTGCAATTCTTGATTTATTCAATAAAATAAATTGGCTTATTAATTTTTTTAAGTCGCCCTGTGTATGAAAATATAAAGAATATCAATGCAATGATAAATTACAAGTATAGACTGATCATATTTTGCACATTTTAGACAGTATTTATTCGGCAAAATTTTGAGATGACGTCATCAATTTTTTGGGGTAGATAAACAGATACATTTTGATTAAAAAATTACCATGCTTGTGATCTCCAAGATTTCGGTTTTGCAGTTCCTGATTACATCAATAAAATAAATTAAGGCATTTATTATTTTTTTCTGTCACCCTGTATAAGCAAATTCAAAAAATATGAGTGGAATGATAAATCACAAGTATAGACTCATAATATTTTCGACATTTTAGATAGGATTTATTCAGTAAAATTTTGAGCTGACGTCATCAATTTTTTGGAGACCATAAGCAAACATATTTTGTTAAAAATTTCATTATGCTTAACATAACTTTAAAGCATCGGCAAGATTTCAAAGTATTCGGTGTGAAAGATTCAAAATTAAATTTCAAAACGTTGTTTTATAATTTTGATTTTTTTTTTCCAAAAAGCTGGACGTTTCGGGTAAAAGCTCAACACGGAGTCATAAACTACATGTGTAGGACTATGTTATTTTATACAATTTAAAACCCATTTACTATGTACAATTTTGAAGTGACGTCATCATATTATTGGTGGGAATGATTGGACAAATTTTGGTTGTCGTTTTACCAACTATTCCTACATGATATTCCTAATATAAATACCAAATTTGACAACAATTGCTGCAGTACTGTCGGAGATTATCTGTCTAATATAAATCGGGACGGCAGATGGACAGACAGAGGGACAGATAGACGGATAGACAGACGGACAGACAGACGGACAGACAGACGGACAGACAGACGGACAGACAGACGGAAACGGGAGACTTACTCTTGATACTCTAGAGATTATGAAAGGTCGTAAAAGTAGAGAGAGTCGGCCGACGAATTCGATTATAATACTTCCTTCGCTTTCGCTCGGTAAGTAAAAAACGAAGATGCCACAAAGGAAACTAAAAACGACGAACTGCGGAAAAAATAGGTGATGGAGAGAAAAATGTGACAATAATGGGAGCTTTAAATGGCAGAGTGGGAAACATAACACAGAAAGAATATTGAAATTACAAAACTAATAAACAAAAAGATAAAAAGAACAGAATGGTAGTTGGTAAAGATTCATAAATTATACAAAGAAGAAACCTGAAGATTATGAGGCATATGAAGCAGAATGAAAAAAAGTGAAGAAGACAAAAGGACGTAAAACAAGAATCATAAATAAGAGTCGGAGAGAAGATGACGCAAAACTGCAGACAAAATCAAAAACTATTTTTCCAAAAACCTCAGCAGCTGAAACAAAAGAAAGAATATAATATGACTAACACAAAAGACAATGAATCAAGAGTAGAAACATAATCACAGATGAAGCGAAAATAATGGACAGATGGGAACAGCGTTTCCGAGAATTGATGGAGAATGATCTAGAAGAAGAAGAAGAACATGAGGAGTAGACTGAATTAGATGAACTAGAAACATTACAACAAGAAGAAAGAAGAGACAAGAAAGAGCACCGGATGGATATAATATGACATCCGAAATGATAAAAGAGAACAATTAACAAGCTAATAAATGAGATAATGCAGGAAATAAAGTTACCAAAGATTGGAAGTACGGGATTACCACAATATCAAGTATCTCCGGAAAAATTTTATCTAGAATAGTATAAAGGAGAACAAAAGAAACGATCGAAACTAATACTGAAGACACTCAGTGTGGATGTAGAAAAAAAAGAAGCACACAATTCAATATTTGTGATCGGACGGACGGACAGACGGACAAACGGACTTCCTTAGCTTACGCTCGGGCTGTAAAATATATGCAGGGATTCCAAAAATGATGCATAAGCTCGATGGTACGTTCTTAAGGAGGCTCTCAAGATCTCTAAAAAATGGTTAAAAATATCAATTAACCAAATTTTTTAAAATATTAAACTTCAAAGTTGAAGAATTAACTTCCTAATTCTGATTTGTTTTAATGCACTGCATGTCTAATAGACAGTTAAATAATTAGTTATTGATCGCATTCTAGCAAATTTAATAATAATTTGCTAGATTACGATCCATAACGTCATTTTTTGTGTTGACAATGTCATTTTTGACAATTTTGATCGAAATTTTAGACCATCATTTAAATTTATAAACATATAACATTTACAAAGTTAATTCTTCAATTTTTTACCATTTTTTCTTAAGTTCTTAACCATCGAGCACGTACGTAATTTTTGGAACAACCTGTATAATAGTTTCAGAATCTACATATGTATATCTGCATGTGCAACTTACATGAGCTTTTGGTAAGACACTACACTTATTTATCTTATCAAAACACAAAAGGTGATAAATACCATAGATCTAAAAATATATTAATGACATCTATATTTTTTCGGCGGATATGAAATCAATAACTTTGGCTGGATTTTACAGTCTTCATGATAAATTTAAAATACTCGTCATAAGCCGAGACAGCACAATTAAAATCTGACAAATCGCAGTCAAAATCACAAACAAATAAATAACAAAAGAACAATACATTATTCGAATTTATTTTATGTATGCATGGATGAAATTTAGTCTTCGCTGTGAATAAACTCTTGAATTCATTGCTACGCAGCTTTATAAATCGATAGGAAAGAGATCAAATTAGTGTAATTGGTTGCTTTACATAAAGCTTTAAGATCCTACGCTTTATAATTGTGATGAAATTGATTAAAAAGCTCTCTGTAGCTCGATTACAAAGCGCTTAAGACTTTAAGCCAATAATATCACCATTTAAGAGCAATTTCGATTTTAAAGAACAGTATTAAAGGTAGATAGGTGAATTTCTAATTTAAATTTACGGACTGAAACTTGGAAATTTATCTCTTCGGGTGAAATTAGCATTACGCGATAATATTTTTACACGATTTATTCAAATTCTGAAAAATTACGACCTATTTTAAACAATTTCGAGCCTTTGAAGTTGTTTGTTTTGTGCGTAAAAAATTAATAACCTGTCCTTTTAATTTGAGACGTGTTTAAAGTCTCTGATAGCAGCGTGTCTCGGTAATGTGAGAAGCCATAGCGAAAGAAGACCAACATCTGAAGCGTTGAAAAGGTTTATTTTGAATAGAAATGGTGTTCAATTGACTTGATTTCAATTGCAAATTCAGCGACATTTTAAACAGTTCTCTCTATTTGAGATAGCTTGCTTCCAGGGATTTTCACCAACAGTCTTTTATGTTATTGCTCGATGTCAGACCTCAAAACTTCATTAATTTGCTTCCAGTCTTTCGGAATTTTACAATTATTTCAGGAAATGATTACAACCGACTTAACGAGCAGAACCTCCATTAAATAAACTTTCTCTCATATAATGCTAAGTTAATTGAGCAAAACGGTGTGTTCACACTTTTGGTGGTTTTATAGCAAAATTTAATCCGCCGTCGAATCTTCAATAACCATTATTTCAGTTACTTTATTAATTCGTTTTGGTTACGGCAGACTGAATAATCGATTCTGTGAACAACACAAGAAAAAAGATCCGTGTTATAACTCCTAAGATAAAATCAAATGTAACGAGACATCTGGTCAATTAAAATAAAACGTTGAGTTTAATTTTGTTAAAGCAAGGAGTGGATCAATTCATGAATAAACAACAATTCTAGGTCATTTCGCCACATTGTATAAATTAGTGTTAACTCCTACAACATAATTACAAAAAGTCATCTAATAACATTAAGTACTTATCGATTTATTCGGGACAGTTTCCGTGCTCACCCCATTCTAGTTTGAACCATTTACAGAGTAAAATGTTTATGGCAAAGATATCCAAATTTTTCAAAGACCCTTGTGATGTGTACTCTGCAATACACCCTTTATTTAACGTTTGTACCCTTTTCGGCCTTGCCCCTTATTCACTGATAAGACTTGAAAATGGAAAAAAGATTTTTAAATTTGCTTGGTGCCCTTTGTTTAGAAACGCACTTTTGGCTTTAATACTGTTAGGTAGTCTTACCTTTCATGCGGTATATGATTTATTTCCTTTGAAAGAGGGCGACCTCAAGCAAAATTTGAGATACGTTCAAGAGACATTTTCAAGCTTACTGTCATGCTGCGCAGTTATTTTTGGGTGCATTTTTGCTCTGAAAATCATCGAAGTGTTTAAAAATATAGAAGAAGTGGATGTGTCGTTTCGGAGTTTGGCTGTCTGGGTGCCATATAAGTACGTTTCAGTTTGAATATAAACCATGAATCGATGTTTTTTTTTTCTAGGAATTTGTATGTCAGAATTATATTGCACTTAGTGGGTTTGCTATTGATTGTGGTTACGCTTACTTTGGATTTCGTGTTTTTTGCTTCTTTGGAATATGGTGATCACATATATTCCTTCTTTATCACGTTTATGACAATAATTTTGCCCTATTTTATAAATTTGTTGATGGAGTTACAGTATTGTCACTACTTGAACATACTGCGAATCAGGTATAAATTGTTAAACGAGTACTTGGAAACTCTCGTTCAGGAAACAAAATGTCCAAACGGTGAGTTTTAAACATCAACAAGTTTTACAGGTGGTTATAATTTGAAATTTTAGTGATTGAAGGCTGGACAGATGACGCAGTTCCTACGATTACCACGAATAAGAAAAAAGAGAAGAAGGAAGTATTTGGGTCTGGAAGTAAAGTACCTAAAAGCATGATGGCTATTTCAGATCCGGTTTTCATAGTAGATCAAGTGGCTGCGTTACATATAAAATTGACGGATACGGCTCACATGATCAATTATGCTTTTTGTGTACAACAACTTTTGAGAATTACTGTTGCTTTTATTAGCATTGTTACTGCTTTGTTTTTGGTTGCGATCAATTTCAACAAATCTTCTTCTCAAAAAGATGACAAAGCTCCACTGGATTACTTCTTTACATTTTGGGCGTTTTCTAATGCTTGTGAAGTGATGGCCATTGTGTGGATTACAAGCGAAACTTGTGAGGAAGTAAGTGAAAATATTTAAGTTATCTACAAATTAAGCAAATACTCTTTATTTCATGAAAATGACTTAAAAGTAGTAGATGTTCAAACAAAAATGAGTTCTTATTCATAAGTACGATTTTTGCTGACATTTCGTAGTTTCGTAGGTAAATTACAATAATTAATTCTCCTAAATTTTGCTTTTTTTGAAATTTTATAAAATTTGATTTTGCGAATTTTGTTTTTTATGACAATCCCTAGAAGCTAAAATAAAGCTACTCGTGGAATATATGTCTCACGAGAGTTTTTCCTTAACAATCCTTTAGCAAGGACACGTACATCTATTTGAATAAGTGCAACGTAATACTATTAATAATTTGATTCTTACGCAAATCTTCAAAATTCTCAAGTTTTCAATACCCCCGTATGAATTTTTTAACCGTTTTCGGAAATTTCGAGATATTTAAAAAAATTGTTTTTCAAACCAAAATTTTCCAAAATCTTGATCCGATCTCATTAACACGTTGTTTTGGAAGAATCAGCTCATCAAAATGTATTTCCCAGATTTTTTGAGAATATTTAGGCAATTTTCCAAAAAACTCAAATTTTCAATTTTCAAAATTTTACCATTTCTTGAGATTTCGAGATATTTAAAAAAATCCATTTTCAAACCAAATTTTTCGAAAATTTTGCTCCAGGATCACTAAAAGTTTATGTTTTTCGAGGCAGGATCGTCGAGATCTATTTCGCAAAATTTTCCGAGACTGAAGAGATATTTTAAAAAATCAATTTTAAAACTGAACTTCTCGAAAATCTTGCGTTATTGATACTTCATGTTTTTCGAATCAACTCGTCGATATTCATATCCCAGAATATTTTAAAAATTTTTAGGCAACTTTTCAAAAGTTTCCGCACGGATTTTTAATCCATTTTCCAAAATTTCAAGGTATTTAAAAAATGTATTTTCAAGTCGAATTTTTGGAAAATGTTAATTTTGCAGCATTAATACGTTGTTTTTTGAATCAGCGCAGCGCATCAAAATGTATTTCCCAAATTTTTTGAGGATTTTTAGGCAACTTTTAAAATCCCAATTATTCAATTGTTGTTTGAATGTTTCGACCGTTTCTTGAGATTTCAAGATATTTAAAATATTTAAAATCCTATTTTCAAACCGAATTTCCCGAAAATTTTTCAAATTGAATTTTTTGGAAATAGTAATCCAAAACCACTGATATCTTCATGTTTTTCGAATCAGCTCATCGAGATGCCTAAAAATTCTTAAAATGTTGTGAGATATGGTTCCAAAATATTTTGGAGAATGTATAGGCAACCTTTCAAAAGTTTCAATTTTTCGATACCCCGGTATGAATTCATCTTCAACTATGTTCCGAAATTTCAAGATATTAAAAAAAAAATCATACCGAATTTAACAAAATGTACCTACTTATTTCCCAGATTTTTTGACGATTTTTAAAAAATTTTTCAAAAATCTGAATTATTGTTTATTTGAATTTTTTGACCGTTTCTTCAGATTTTGAGATATTTAAAAAATCCCACTTTCAAACTGACTTTTAAAAAAAATTTGGTTGGGGACCATTAACGGTTTATGTTTTTGGAATCAGCTTGTCAAAATCTATATCTAGACCAATCCCAAAGTCTGACGTCCACTGATAATATTGCAATTAATTACAACATTAAGGGCCGGTTTATACATAGAACAGCGAGTTAAATATTTAATCCTCGATTAGTTTAACAGAGAATTAAAATGTGGATTGGTTAAAATATGCGCTTTGCCTCGCAACGGACCTAAATTAAAAGTTAATCGCGAATTAACTTTAACTTGGCTTTCTATAAATCGGGTCTAAAATTTTATGTTTCTCGAGTCAGCTCGTCAAGACTTAATTCTCAAAATTTGTTGAGGACTTTTAGGCAACTTTTCAATAAATTTAACTTGCAAAACCCACTTCCATGATAAATTTTAATTTTCCGAGACTGAAGAGATATTTTAAAATGTCATTTTTCAAATTGAACTCCTCGAAATCTTGTCTTATTGATACTTCATGTTTTCCGATATTTCTATCCCAGAATATTTTTAAATAATTTTCTTAAATATGTATCTCGAAATTTTGGAAAATGGATAAAAATCCGTACGTGTTGAAAAATTGAAACTTTTGAAAAGTTGCCGAAATTTTTGAAAATCTTGATCCTGCACCATAGGTACGTTGTTTTTCGAATCAGCTCATAAAAGTATTTTCCAGATTTTTTGAGGATTTTTAGGCAACTTTTAAAATCTCAATTTTTCAATTGTTGGTCGAATGTTTTGATCGTTTCTTGAGGTTTCGAGATATTTAAAAAACGAGTACATATTTAAAATACCATTTTCAAACCAAATTTTCCGAAAATTTTGGTTGCGGACCACTGACAGTTTATGTTTTTCGAATCAGAGATTAAATTCCCCTCCAGAGATTTTGCCTATATGCCGAGATTTCAAGGTATTTTAAAAAACCCAATTTCACATTGAATTTTTTGGAAATCGTAGTCCGAGACCTTAACACTTCATGTTTTTCGAATCAGCTCATCGAGATGCCTAAAGATTCTTAAAATAGTGTGACTTTTTTCAAAAGTCTCAATTTTTCAATACCCCTGTATGAATTCTTCAACTATGTTCCAAAATTTCAAGACATTCAAAAAAAATCATTTTCAAACTGAATTTAACAAAATGTACTTATTTCCCAGATTTTTTGAGGATTTTTATAAAACTTTTCAAAAATCTCTATTGTTTGTTTGAATTTCTGACCATTTCTGGAGATGTCGAGATATTTAAAAATCCCAATTTCAAACTGAATGTTTCAAGAATTTTGGTTGGGCAACATTAACAGTATATATTTTTGGAATCAGCTTGTCAAGATCTATATCCCAGATTTTTTGAGGATTTTTGACGAACTTTTCAAAAATCTCAACTCTATAAAACACTCCCGTCTGAATTTTTTTTATAGTTTTTCGAGATTTAGAGAATAATACATATTTTAATAACATCATTTTCGAATTGTTAATAATTCTTGGTCCGGTACCATTGACACTTTTGTTTTTCGAATCAGCTCGTCGTATCTATATCCCAGAATTTTTTTATTTCCAAAAATCTTAATTTTTCAATAACCTTCGCCCATTTGAATTTTTTGCCTGTTTTTGAGCTTTTGTGGTACGAGTATTTACTCTATTCTCAAATTTTCTGGGAAATTAGGCGAACCGTTCTTGGTTTGATCAATAAAATAAATTGTTCTATTAATTAACTTTTTTGAATCGCCTTACATAAGTAATTCTACGCTACGCTGTTCCACATTTACAAAGTAAGGAGTAAGAAGTTATAAAATACAGCTCGCAAAATTTATAAAGCACGGCGTCGGTCGTGTAAAAACTAAAGGCGGGTTCGTAAACCATGAAAGTATATAGTATTCGTAAGGCATAGAAGTATGTTATTTTATGAAATTTAAATAATGTTTACTACGCAAAATTTTTAGATGACGTCATTAAATTGTTAGTGGGGCCGAGTGGAGAAATTCTGGTTAGCACTTTCCCATCTGCATGCTATTCCTAAAATACATACTTGTAAAATGTTATCAGTCCAGTAGTTTCGGAAATTATCTGCTTAAGAAAATCGCTAACAGACTACACAGAGACGACAGATGTCAGACGACAGACAGACGAAAACGGGGAATTTATTTTTCCATACTCTAGGGATTCTGAAACATTGCTGAAATATAAAAGTAGCCTCTCATGAGGTAACAAGAGTAGTCTTTCCAGAATTTTGTAAAAATTGGATAAAAATTTTTTCAAGTGAAAACTTCAATCGTGCATTCGTTTTGAAATGAAACATTGTGGGTAGTGAATGGGTCTGATCCGTCAGATTTCGGGATGAAACGCTCATTCGAGTAAACTCGGGTTGAGAACCGAGAGAGTCAGTTCATCTAACATATATTTTCATATAATATACTATATTACTTCGAATTGATTACATTCATTCATTACACAAGTTTTCACTTTGGTCGTGCGGTCTTAAGCACATTCATTTTTTATTTAATTAATAAAATTTAATCTACTCATTCAGTAATTTCTTTGTAAACACCCTATGGGAACAATTCTAAAACTATCATCGCCTGTAATCATTAAATCAATGTTGGTTTCTTGCTGAAATTTAGAAAAGTTGTTTTTGCAGACCTTATATTGTTTACTAAATCCATCTGGTGAACGGCTATTTCATGTTTATAACCAGTATACGTATTGTTAAAAATATGGATATAGTGTCGCTTGATCTAAAAAACGTCGTCTAGTCAGCCATGGTATTATATAATTTTGTAAAAACTGTAGTGGCACTACTGTTGTTTTCCATTACTAGCTGTCATTTGACACTTGACAGTGTAATAAAAATAAATGCTTGAAAGATAAAAGGATTTCACAAACACCTGTGACGGTGCAAATTTTGTCAACACAATTAAAAGAAAAAAAAAATTCCATGGGATCCTTGGCGACGTTTTTTTTTAAGCATACAATTGATTTACAAACAAAATTTTGAGATGTGTACAAGGTTGAAAGAAGACGTCCTAATGGATGTTAAACGTCATCAAATTTTTGGTGGGAATATTGAGACGCAGTTTCGGAGCGATGACAGATGACAGATAATAGACAAATAGAAGCCGGACCTATTTTTCCAAGTTCTAAAAGCTCTGAAACATTGACATATACATATTATTAAATTAGAATTATGAGGACTGCCATGGCAACATGAATAACGATTTTTTATTTGAAAATATGTTAAACAACATTTACAATTTGTTTAATTCACTTTTACCGTAATTAAATAAACAGTTTTATGAACTAATTTATAGTCAATATGTAGTTATACGCAGCAAAATAATTCATTGATTAAGTAAATGCGTTCAGTGTACACACCTAATACATTTTGATAAAGATTAATTAATCTTTCATGTAACTGGTTTTAGGCGAACACGTGCCCTAGAATTTTACATAAGATCAGAAACAACACAACAAATACTAATCTTCAAGACACGGTAAGAATTCGCACGTAACTAATTTGTTTGTGATTATAGATTTGATGAAAATTACAGATTGAAATATATTCTCTTCAAATGTATCATAACCGACTTTCTTTCACTGTGTGTGGTTTATTCCCACTTGATTATACATTATTATATACGGTAAGTTAAAATGAAAAAGATGTATACATATATAACACAATAATGTTGTCTGGTCGACTTGATTCTTTGTGTTGGTGTGCCTGTAGCCGTTTATATATTTTTCGTGGTCTAACATTTTTGTTTCTGATCTTTGATCATAACAAAAAATAATGTTGTTATACAGTTCTGAAATTACTTCAGGCTACTCCTACTTCATGTTTTTTATAAAATAAATATTTTTGCTTTGTGTTTCAGATTGTCGCCGGGGTAACAACTTACCTTGTTATTTTAATCCAGTTTAATAACGCCGACTTCATAAAGAAAGTTCCACAAAATTCGTCATTTTCCAACAACACCACCACTGAAAGTTATTAAATACAGTATCACCACATTCACTTAATGAAGACGTTTTGTGTTTGTGAATTGTGCCGTGTATATTCTAGTATATAATATTTTTGTTAAATGTAACGAAACTCGAAATAGGATAGAGTGTAATAAAGTGTGTGAAACAAACCTCTTGCGTGTTATTATTTCGCAACAGCGAGGAGAAGAATGTCATTTTCATATCATCCCACATTCCTCGCCACTCCACATATTAATTCAATGATTAAATTCAAAAATACAAGGGACGGCGTTCCTGCTAATTGAAATACGAAACCCCTTGTGCTTTCAATTGAATATTCAACGATTTCATAATTAATATTTCTCTCAAATTTGGAGAGTAATTGGCAAGTTGACACTGGAAATTGTTTTAAAGTTTGCTAGATTTAATAACCAAATATTAGCTTGGACTAGGGCGCACAACTAAAATAACACCGTGATTTATGACTTACTCGGCATAGCCAAGACTTAGTTTTAGCTATTATGTATAAGTTGAGGTCACACGTGATATCTAGACCGATCCCAAAGTCTGGCGTCCACTGATAATATTGAAATTAGTTGCTCCTAACGGTATCACACTTTAAGTTGCTATCTATACTCACCTACATTTAAATACCCATCCCGCAATTTGTGCTAAACAAGGAAACTAAAGCGACTGCATAAAATACTTGCCCAACAATATGAAGGGGGCAAACATACACAATCAAAACTTTTCACACTGGTCAGTAAATAAATTATAACGTTTCGCAATTGAAAAGAAATAACTAGTTAGTATTTATTTTCCGTAATGATTAATGATAGAACCCAAAAAAGTTAAAAAAAAGTGTCTTAAAATTTACTTTTAGTATTTTTTATTAGAAAAAGTCTTCCCATCATAAAAGTGACTTTGCAATGTAAACCTTAAGATTACTTAATTAAATTAACACTTATTAACAGCTTCCGCTCATGTTAGCCCTCCTTTAACAAATAAGCTGATTTTATTAATAAACATTGTAACTAATTATATTATTGTGGCACTTTACAAATTAGCGACGTCATACTGATTATAAAGTTAATTTAAATTTCATACACACATTCAACAACAACAAGAATATATTATCATTCTCGTAATTCGCTTAAAGTTTCAACTTAACCAAATAATATCGAACCGTTGGTAAATATTTCATTTGAACATGTTGAGCAACTACTTAATATGCTACAATGGTTGAGCTGTTACCATGAATTTTTGAAGGAAATATTTCTGTCTGTGGCTTTATTAAAAGCAATATCTACGTTATACAGAAAACAGAATGTTGTGTACGTTTTTGAAAAACTAATAAAAGTGAAATTTGTCCTTCAAAGCGTTTTTGAGATTTTAAACAAAATTTTTAATTCCTGATGTCGTTATTTAGCTTTATCAGTAAATTATTAACGTATTATAAATACCTACACACAACCTTGACTAATTTTTAGCTTACACTTTACATTTTTTTAATAACTTATGTTTAAAACATCTTGTTGTTATAATTATCTGAAGACAGTCATACATATTTTTTTGCCATAAAATTTTATTTTAAATGATTTCATGGATTGTTAACGAAATCTCATCTAATAAAATGGTTTTCACTGTTTTTTTTTTTTTTTAAACGAAAATAATTGTAGACAGATTCAGAATGACATTGGACCAATAGTAGTTAGAATTCCATGCCAGGGACATGTATATTATTGTTTGTATATGCTCAACTATGACTGTTATACAAGAATTCGACTATTAAGCATGTATAGATGCTGCTTGACCAGAATAAGCGGTGGTAGATAAAAATAATATTTGTTTTAAAAGAAAATGAAATTGAATCGATTTTGTCTCGTCAATACAGAAGAAAAGCGAAGACTAATTATTATTATTAATAAAGCTATAATTATTACACTGGAACAAAACCGTTTGAATATTATTTTGGGTAAGTAGCTAACATTATGAGAATTATTATTGTATTATTATTAAATAGACAGGAGCAACATTGTAATGCTTGTACTACAATTCTACCAGGCACGCTTGCGCAGTTTTCTTTTATGTGTATAAACAAAAAGAAGGACTAAACAGTAAAAATGATAATAACAATAAACAGAACAAGGCGGATTCACAAACCACTGCACAGGAATATGTTATTTTATATATTTTTTTCTTAAAATGCAGATAAAATTTGACAATCAGTTCAGTGATTTTCGAAGTTCTCTGTCTAAATAAAAATAGACACAGACAACAGACAGATGAGGAGATATATTTTTTCGTATTTTAGGGGTCATAAAACGTCAAGAAAACATGAAAGCAGTCTTAATTTACACTCGGAAAGTAAAAATAAATTGTTATGAATAAAATAATTGTTACCTATATAAATAAGAAATTAATTTTTCAGTTTGTTTCAATAGAGTTGTACATTATAAGCTACACTCAAAACCGTGTGCTTAGCCACAATCCAATGTGGTTACAATTTAGGTTAATACTGTAGCGTCACTTAAATATATGTATGTCAAGTGAATGTTTAAACTTTGGATTACAGTGGGGCACAGTGAATCTGCGGCAACCATTTTGAGAGTCAATTTAGGGTATTTTAAGTCTGCTGGGTACGAACAAAATATTACAATGGGTAAATTGGCTCTATTTTTTTTTTATTTTTTGTTAAAATTAATGAAGACAATCATTGTAGACAGATTCAGAATGACACTGGCCCAACAAAAATTTTAATTCTCATAATATTATTTTTTTGAGCCTTGTTTATAGCTGTTCAAATCAAATAACTAATATCCGTTAGGCATAATTATTATTTTTAACAAATTAACAAACATGATCTAAGGTTATGTCGACAGGATGTCTCTCTCCCCTGACGTAAGGCCGAACAAATGCAGTGTCTTCGAAGAATGATGACACTTATATCAGTTTGAATAGGTGCAATGTAATATTTACTTATAATAACAATACTGGATTTTCAAATTTTCTAGAAAAATAGGATGAACTTGATTTGTTCCATAAAAAAAAGCATGGGACCCGCGGAACTTTCATCTGCCGCGACCGCTAGACTAAAACTGTAGGGCTTGTGTCTAAACAATAAGGAGGATTATACAATAAAAATTATAGTAATAATAAATGTATCACAAGTACCTATACTACGTACCGTGAGAGATTGAGTGACAGAAAAGTCACTAAAAATCTCCGCTAAGCGAAATTTGAAATTTCAAAATGAATCTAATCTCAAGCATTATGAGAAATAAGTTTTACGTTACTCGAGAATTTTTATAGTGAGTTTCGTTTAGGAACTATAACTTTACGATACGAAAGTGAATTCCATCGAGTTGATGTTTTTTGGTACAAAGTTGTCTTTTAATACCAGAACACGATGTCTATTATCATTATACCTCTGAATTCTCCTGAAAATTATTTGAAATATCTCCTAGAACCGTTGTCAAGTTCCCGTTAATAGTAACTTTGATGTTCAACTTTTGCCGTATTTAAAGGGGCTGTAGAAAAAAGTGCAGGATTACTTTTTTCTTGTTGTCGAAATAAGTCTACACATTTTAAGAGAAAAAAATTGGTCTAAAGAGTTTAGACAGTACTTCCCTCGCTGTCGGAAACATGATGACTGCATGCCTATTTTGTTTTTTTCTCATTACATTTTTGTAGCGGGGCAATTTAAAAAAAAAAAATTGCGATGAAGTGATCAACATTTTGCAAGGATACGTATATCAGTTTGGATAGATGTAGTATAATACTAAAAATAAAACTACTGTATTCCCACATTTTCGGGTGAATGAATTGGGTCGTCTTGAATATTGATTTATAATCAATAAAATAACGAAACAGTTTACTCACGTATGCCGCGTGTATTAACAGAGGCGACTCAAAATCATTTATGTATAAGCATTCTTAATTTAAGACAACAAGCTGTAGCACTTGTTGAGATTGTGCACATGAGAGTCAAACAGAGAAATTGCAAACAAAACCGATGGTCACCCAGATTTTTTTATTGCTTCGACTTCCGCTTATTATATAAAACGTTGGATTTTATTTTAATTTTTGATGGTTTTTGAATGGTTGATTATAACTTGTCTATACCACATTCATGGAACCTAGTCAGCGCAACAAAACAAATGCACGTCTGTAATGTTAAAGTAAATTTATTTACATTTACAACGTAGTCGTAGTACACTTAAATTTTTACTCGAATTTTTACTTTACAAAATTTTGTGTCTATCAAATTGGGTTGGTGCATTGAATTACTAATAATAACAGTGTTGTATCTCCAAATTTTCGGGAAAATGGAGTGAACTATTCCTGATTTAATCAACAAAATAAATTGACTCATTCATTAATTTTTTGAGTCACCCTGTATGTGTAAATCCAAAAAATTTGAAGGGAATGATAAATCACAAGTACAGACTCATAAAATTTTGTACATTTTAGATACGATTTATTCAGCAAGTTTTTGGGGTGGCGTCATCAATTTTTTAGGGGGGATGAGCAAATACATTTTGATTAATAATTTACCATGCTTATCATAATTGTAAATCATCTGCAAGATTTCAAAGCATTCGGTTGTGCAGATTCCGAATTAAATTGCAAAATGTGGTTTCATAATTTTGATTTTTTTCAAAAAATCTGCACGTTTCGGGTAAAAACTCAATTCGGAGTCATAAACTATATGTATAGGACTATGTTATTTTATACAATTTAAAATCCATTTACTATGTACAATTTTATTTCTTGATTATTTGTCTAATAAAAATCGGGGACGGCAAACAAACAGACGGAAACGGGAGACCTATTTCTTCGTCTTCTAGGGGTCACGAAAGGTCGAGAAAATGTAAAAGTACAGAGTCGGCAGACGGACTCGATTACAATACTTCCTTTGCTTACGCTCGGGAAGTAAAAATGCATTAATATCATTACAAAATTTAGTGTGTTTTCATTGGTCCATGCGGGAAAATGTTCGCTTGATACTATGCTGTCATTGGTTGATGCAGGGAATTTATCGATCGATAAGTTTTTGACTAAAAAAATATTCATATAAGTCGCCTATGATTTGTCATAATTTGATTTTTCTTACAATTTTATTGGACGAAATTTTCTGACGGAAATAGTCTGCCAAAAGACCCCCAAACCTCGAAAAATTGTCGATAATTTTTCATCAATTTTCCGGGTGAGCGCAGCGAGTTTTCTCGGTCTCAGGATCTTACTAGTGACAATACTGTACTTTGAAATTTTCTAGAAAATAGGATGAACCGTTCTTGATATGTTCAATAAAAAAAAAGCATGGGACCCGCGGAACTTTCATCTGCCACTCTACTAGTAAACTACCACTGTAGGATTTGTGTCTGTACAATAAAAAAAATTGGTCTAAAGAGTTTAGACAGTACTTCCCTCGCTGTCGGAAACGTGACGACTGCATGCTTATTGTGTTTTTTTTTATTTATTATGCTCTTTATAACCTTAAAACATCTACAAGATTCCAAGCATTGGGTTTTGTAGTTACTGATTAAATCAATAAAATAAATTTACGCATTCATTATTTTTTTTGAGTCACCCTGTATATGCAAATCCAAAAAATACGAATGGAGTGATATATCACAAGTATAGACTCATCATATTTTGTACATTTTGGATAGGATTTATTCAGCAAACTTTTGAGCTGACGTCATCAAGTTTTTGGAGGGGATACCCAAATATATTTTGACTAAAGATTTATGATGCTCTTTATAGCCTTAAAATATCTGCAACATTTCAAAACATTCGGGTTAGCAGATTCAAAATTAAATTGCAAAATGTTGTTTTATAATTTTGATTTTTTTCCAAAAATCTGGACGTTACGGGTAAAAACTCAATTCGGAGTCGTAAACTACATGTGTAGGACTATGTTATTTTATACAATTTAAAACCCATTTACTATGTACAATTTTGAAGTGACGTCATCGCATTAGTGGTGGGGATGATTAGACAAATTTTGGTTAGCGTTTTACCATCTACATGATATTCCTAATATAAGTACAAAATTTCACAACAATCGGTCCAGTACTTTCGGAGATTATCTGTCTAATAAAAATCCAGGACGGCAGACAGACGGACAGACGGACAGACGGACAGACAGACGGACAGACAGACGGACAGACAGACGAAAATGGGAGACCTATTTCTTCGTCTTCTAGGGGTCATGAAAGGTCGAGAAAACGTAAAAGTAGAGAGTCGGCCGACGGACTCGATTACAATACTTCCTTTGCTTACGTTCGGGAAGTAAAAATATATAAAATTTGTTAACAATCGGGCCAGTAGTTTCTGAGATTAACTATTTAATATAAATCAACGCAGATAGGCAGACGACAAACAGACAGAAACAGGAGACATACTTATTGGTACTCTAGGAGTCATGAAACGTTGAGAATACATGAACTAGCCAGTCGCCCGATGGACTATGTTGCTACCTTATATTTCCTTACTTCTTACAGCTTACGCTCGCGAAGTAAAAACTAAGCAAACAATTTTTTTTGTAGGATTTTGTACAATTTTTCTGACGAGATAGTCGCTTTCTAAAATCCAACTGTAATCTGCCATCTTATTATGGTTCCAACGACCTCGATATCTTTCTTCCATCACATTTATATCTTGGTGGAACTATATCGCGATGCTTTATAATTTCCCAAAAAATGTTTGACCACTCTTTTGAAAGCTTATTTTATTCTACACGTGATACAAAAGTTAAAAAAAAAACATCGACTCAAAAAAAAAAGAAAAAAATTATTTTGATTATGTTTTTTATTGACCCTTAAAATTATGTACATTTTTCTGACCGTTGTGCGTAACTGTCCCTTACCTCTGAGGTAGTTTGCATATTTTTCTGACCACGGCGTGGAACTGACCCATGCCCAAAGAACCGATATAACCGATAAGCTGCCGCGGTCCTATTAAATGGCTTACTCGGTCACCGGATTTAACACCAACTGATTAACCTCAGATCCTTAAGGATTTGCGCCAAAGAATAGTAAATATTTGTGCTAATATTAAAGCAAAAACGTTAACTCGGACACGAAAACCAACACTTTACAGGTTTTACTTCTGTCGAGATATATAGTTTTGAATTTCAAGGTCATAGCGTAACCCTATGATGACAGCTGGGATCATTTAATTACTCTTCCTGAAGAAACTCTTGATTAGTTTTACCTAATGAGTGGAGTTGTACTACGTGTTATTACAATGAAAACTATAGCTATTCGGCAGAATGTGTGAAGAATTTACGTTGTTTTTTTACATAACAGACTTTATAACTGTGGACATAATGTAGCTGATTTGAAGATGGTACCAGATTTTACAGAAACATGTAAGCTTGTGTCCTGTTTTTAATAAATCTTCATATTTCTGACGTCAACGTAATTTTTAACCCGGCTATTGCTCCGTCCAACCTTTCATACTCACATCATGAAATTTTAGCGGCTACAAAGATAACGTCCTTTCAACAACTGTGGTTTTAAAATTTTTATTCTGCCCTGAATTTCATAACAGTGATGGTTGTCGGTAAAAGGACGCATTATTGTTATTAACTCTTGACGCAAAAAGGGGATGTTATAACTTTGAAATCTTTCTCTGCATGTGAGTGTGTCTCTCTCTGTGTGTGGCACCGAAGCTCTCTATAACGAATGAACCGATTTCAAGCGTCTTGTTTTTGTTTGAAAGCTGGTTTAATCAGCTCATATCACAGATGTGGTAGGAAGCAGCTCGGTTCGCACGAAGGTGAGGCTAGTGTGTCGACCGTCGCAGCGAATCTTAACCAATTTCAGATATTTAAAGTGTTCATTGTTTTTGTTTGGGTTTTTAAGTATTAGTACTTATTGAATTAAAATTTTATTTACGTTCGTCTGTTTGTTACTATTGATGTTGCTAAGCATACACTAACCCAAGTTTGTTACTAAGAAAGTGCGTTAATAAAATTACAAAACATTCAGTCAATAATAAATAGGAGTATTTCGATCTGTGTACAACTATTATGGCGTTATTCCTATTAATTGCTTTTGTGTATTTTTATATCTATTTCAAAAATGTAATTAAAAATTGATAATTGACGATTGTTGACAGTTGTGGAATCTCATATTGCAACCAATAACAATTCCTATAATAATTGTCAAAAACTCACTCTTAAATCGCTAACTATTCCGACAACGATACAAATGTCATGTAAGATCGGTTCAGAATAAAACTTTAGCAAGATTGTTTTTTAACCAGAACATGGTTATATGTATAGGCAATTTAGGCACGGCCAATTTAAACCTACAGTTGAAAATACAATGTAGTAGTTAATGTATTTTTGTTGTTTTGTTTAACGATTTAATAATTTATTCAACGTAAAAGAAAAATTAGTAATTAATCATGTACATCTTAGTTATAATTTATCCAAAATTGAAACTCATTATCAAGTTTTTGGAAGAACAAACTGATATATTTTGATTAACGATTTTCCATAGTTGCAATAACCTTAAAAGGTTGCAATATTTCAGAATATTCGGTTTTGCAGTTTTTAAGTTAAAGTGTAAAATAATGTTATACAATTTTAACTTTTTTCCCAAAATTTTGCGCAAAATTTTGAAGTGACGTCATTGAATTGTTGGTGGGGACGATCAAATAGATTTTGGTTAGTGTTTAATTATCTATTTGATATTCCTAAAATACTTATAAAGTTTTACAATAGTCAGTCTAGTAGTTCAGGAAATTATCTATGTAATGAAATCGCCAACAGCCCGTAGACGACAGACAGACAGCTTACAATCGTGAAGTAAAAATCAGTTGAACTCTAAAATAAATGTGGGTAATTGAATACGTTTTAATTTTAAGATTTCGTTGTAAATTGTTCTAAATATAAAACAAATATTTTTCGCTTATTTGTTGCTGTAACAAAAATCGACAATGCGAGTATATGCAAAATTAAATGCAGTTAAACTTATACTTACTGTTTATTTACAGCAGCACCACTCGTTACCTCAGAGAACACATTTACATATGAACATAAAATTTAAAAATAAATTGCACTCTCAAATGATGTCAACGTTAAACTTACCTGTATGTACATACATATGCATCCATTTCTATATAAAAATGTTCGTGCATTACGTTTTAATGCGTTGAAATGTGCAACGTATCCAACAGTAAGAAGAAATGTTCTTTTTGCACTAATGATTCTTTATCTTCGTCAGTACCGTCTTTACTTCGAGTGCAAAACTAATTTAAGTTAAGGAAAGATGTGCATCAACCGTGCGAAACTTAAAGATGACGATAATTTTGATAATTCACTTTGATAAGTTCGTTTTGAAACGAAAGTTTCATGTTTTAATCTCAGCACCCAAATAATAAATTAAGAAATCATAAGCAATTTCCGTGGATTTTATTAAAGACAGCATCCTGTATAAACGTTGGAGTGTGAAATGCTCGTCCCCAGGTTCCATTGAATGTCGCCCAAAATTAAGTTGAATTAAATGCAAACCTGCAAATAAAACTTTCCTACCACTCAACATTTAAATAAATTTTTATCTCGACACAGTTATAATGAAGTCGCGCCGGCACACAAGCGGCCAAACTTGCAGTAATTTAGATTTATTTCAGCCACTCGACGCCCTAACTTCTGATTCTTTACACGCTTTCCACAAATAAAAAGCGTTTTTATCACAAATACACACCCTCGCGATATGACCATCTTCCTTTATATGGAGCGTTAAAAGTAATTCCGCTGTATTTGTTTTATTACTAATAAAAGAACGATTCCTCGGGCGTAAAAGCTGAGTGTTTTTTGAAAATATTTTATTAACTTTTCACTTTACGCAGGAAGATGGAGGAGAAAAGCGGCGTGTAAAGGGTTCAAAACTTTATTGGCTAGATTTAACTCAACATCTACAGAAATTGCGTTACCAGATATACAAACGAAATTATTACTTCGAAAGCGGTTCATGTATACATTCAATCGTGCTTCTAATTTACACGACCATCGAATAACGGCTATAAAAGATGTTACAAAGTTAATTCAGTATAGTTTTTGACCCATAAATTAAAAAACTACCTGCTATAACAATAACATGGTATCTTACATTCTAAAAGTATCACATTTGTACATACTAAAGTATTTATATTTATAATGTTTTTTACAGGATCTATTTCTTCCACTTAAACATTTCCACGTCGTTTATTGCCTTTGGATATAAAAAACAATTGTCATAAAATAAACGTCTTAATCAGTGTTGTTTTAAGATTTATGCTTCTTTCTGATAATTCTGTATACGTTTGATCACAGTTGGAAACAAAAAACTGCTATATTAATAACAAATGTCAAAAATTTTAATAAGTGTGGTTTAAACTGTACTTCGTAGTACACAAAATTATCAGTTTATAATTCCACATTTCAGCATTATTTACAATACATAACAACTAAAATTAATACATAATCATTAAAATTTCATTAAAACAAAATTTAGGCACACTTTGTTTTCTGCTGATCACCATTTCATTATCTTATTAACAGCACGGACATAAACACGAATAAAAAGTTTATTACACTTATTATACTTAAACCTGGATGGCCGCTTCCATCTGTTTCTGAAAAAGAATAATTTTCTATTAAACAGATTTCTCGTTTTACTGTTATTATTTTTTTTTTCGATAATGATCGAGATCAACTATATTTACTTTATGAATCAATTTCTTGTGTTTCTCTTTGCATAGGCTAGAAATAAATAATGAGTAGCAAAAATGTGTAAATGGCACTAGTGATATACCGTTGACGTTATAAAATACTTCCTTTACGCTATTAAAAATGGTCACGTATATCATAAATGTTTGAATAATCGATTAGCTAGTTGAGCACGGTTTGAACTGTAGGTACATCAAGTGTGTCAACAAAACTCTAAATCTGGGTTTAGCAGATAGTATTAGTGCTTCATTCTCAAATACGGGATAAACTACTTGTTATCAAATGTTACGTCAGTAAACAAAATATCATTCATGTCTCTGTGTTGCCGATTACAATTAGAATTCGTTGGTTTATCGTCGGATTTTACAAATTTGGCTTATTTTCTAGTGTCCACGCAAAGGATATCTCGGTTACGCTTGAGAAGATACCAGAGAAAATCAGCTAAGAATATTTCTTAATTTGATCTTTATGAAAATATGTGGTGTGATAACTTAAAAATTGAAATTAAAAATTGAAATTAACTGATACTTATTAGTCAGCGTCATTGTTAAATTTAAGGTAGTTTCACTTAGGCACAGTTTTTTTTATCGTTATCTTGGTATCGCCTTTTCCATGCAGAGAGGCGAATAACAGTTGCTTTGTATTTACGTTTTAAAATAAGCATTAAACATGCTTAAATTCATCAGGCGACCCACCGATGCGAAATTAAACCTGTAATACGTTTTGTGGTTTTGTGACTGCTAGGAATACTCGACTGAGTGAAAATAATCGTTAAAATGTCAGATTTATCCTACCGTAAGGAAGGTGTAAATTGGGATAAACAGTAAATGTGACAGACAATTTCGTTAGTAAATACTTTTTTTATTCACAAATTTGTCTCTTTAAGAAAAAGCCCAATGGTATTTATTTCAGGCAATCCATTATAGTAAGAACACTATATTTTGTAGTAATAAACCTACAACCTAAAGGTTATAGAGCCTAAATCGCAGCCATAATCTGTAAAACAATAAATTATAGACCCTCGGTCGAAGTTTAGCTGCCGGTAAACAGTGAACAGGGGCGGATTTGTTTTATTCGGTAACAAATTTAACTGAGGTGGCTGCACTAATAAAGCATTAAGGTTTAGTTAGTGTTTGTAAGTTGGTATGTTGTTGGTATTAAGGCCCGTTACACAGATGATTAAAAGCGCTGTGCAAACGCGCATTAGTCAAGTAAATCTATGTCGATCAACTATTGTGCTAAATACAACGCTGAAATTTACCCAGATGTCACAGACGTGAACGATTGACGAATTTTCCTACTGTGAAAATTGTTCGATCATTGTTCAAAAGCTTCTTTGATCATGCAATAATAGGGTTACAGAATTTTATAGTAGATAAGTAGTATGTATTAGTATTTAGTATACACTAAATTTTATTATGCAGTGAAATAGAATTTTTGTCAAATGTTTAACAAACTGTGTTAAATGCAAGTGAATTTATTTTGTAGAAAATCTGACAATAACACCTGAAATGCAAGTACTAAAATCTGCTACATAATATAAGACATCAAGAAACACAGTTCGATGTAATAAAATACAAGTGATAGAATCTTAACTTATGATGATTATAATATTGTAAATTTTTTTATTAACATTTTGTATTAAAAGACTCAATTTTATTATTTAACAAAGTGTGTACCTTTGTTTATCTATCAACTATTGCAACACAAATGTTAAAATAATTTTGTTGCGTAGTAATTCGTCCGATGAACTTGATTACTCCTTAGCTTATTACGCTTGGGAAGTAAAAATTCTAGAATACTGAAATAACGTGCCAACATTACATGTAATTTCAAAAATAAACTATGGTTATAGATCCATTTAGAGTACTTATGAACATTTTTTTTTCATATAGGACGTCCTATATGATTTTAATGTATTGTTACGTTGAATGGGTATTTAAAATCGACATGGGTAAAACTCAACAATTTATTTTTTAGTAGCTCAAATTTACACAGCGACTATGAACAAAATAATTCCGGCGCAACTTTAGTGGTTTCTGTCAACATTCGCTGAACTCTACTCGACTGAATCGTTCCCGAAGGTGGCCTCTATTTAAACCCATACTTCTTTCTAGCTGTGCGGCGATCGGGGTCTTTTTGGAATCCATCGCGAATTCCGCTTCCAGGCATTTCTCTAGCGAGCACCCATCAGAAACGTCAACGGTGTCACTGTTATATTTCATGAGGCGGCCTAAGTGAACAATCTTCGTTTTCTTTTTCGGCCCTCGTCGAATTCTGTAAACGACATCGTTGATCCTGGCCACGATAGTATTGGGATCTTCCCATTCTGCTGATAAATTCGGGCAACGACTTTTCCTTCGTCGGGAGTTACAAAACCACAACAAATTCCCTCCTTGGAATCGTATTGAGTTGTCCATAAGGTCGTAACGTGTCTTCATTCTACCAGTCGGCATTCTATTTTGGTGGTGCAGCATTTTGTAAACGCTCGGCAACTTCTCCTGTGAGCCATTCGTAGCCCTTGTTCTCTTCTTCAGTCACTGGGAGGGGACTCGCTATATGTATCTCCTGCAGTTCTTCCAAAAGGCGAACCGACGTTCTGTGGTTGCATCGGTCTTCTCACTTTTTGCACCAGCTCTCGACGTCGTTCTAGAATCTCTACGTGACCTTGGAAAGCGTCATGTTGATTCCAAAATGAACGCCACTAACTGCTTAGTGACATGCCTTCCATTCGGACTTTCCCAGGCTCGCTTAAACAATCCGTTCTCGACACACAAGGAGTCCCATTTAGCCCATAACGCTTTGAAAGAAGGTGACTCGTCTGGTATTTCCGAACAGCCAGGTCGTTCCCTTCCAACTTTTTTCCGCCTGACGAGCGGCCGAATATCCTTGTCTTCCTCCTGGTCCTTTCTACACCGAGTTGTAGTCCATTCATCATCTTCTACAACTGCTTTCTTCCTGCGGTTCAACAGTGCTTTGGACTGCTCAACCTGTCACAGTGTTTGCAGTTATGATAAGCGATCAATTTTGCAGGCTTCGCTTCAATACAACGCTGATTCAACTTGAACTCTTCATTTCCAAGACGTAGGACTTCCCTCACTGGATCCCAAAATGAAGTTTCTTCCATGAGATCGCAATGTCTTATTCTCGGCTGACCAATACAGATTTCTACCGATGCTTCGCCAATGATTGGCGTCGACTTTCCAGTTACAGTTTTCAATCTGATCGTTTCGGGTATAGGTTCTACATCTTTAGCTCTCGTGAGTCCTTTACGTACAAATACCTCAGCATCAGTATCGATGGTGATTGCTGCTGAATTTTCATAAATTTTCCCTGGTATGGTTGAACCACTACCTCTGGTGAAACCTCTTATTTTCACTTCGCTGGCGGTCTTATTCTTACCAGAGAACCCATTGCCCAAAGTACCGGCTCCTTTTCGATATCGGTGAGGTCTCTGTTTCGTGGTTTTTCGTGGAACTGGTAATCGAGCACGACAATCACGTTTGAGTTCCACCAGCCCACACATATAGCATTCCACACTTTGCTTACGAGACACATCATTCTCCCGTCTTCGAAAGACAACATCTATTTGCGCAGCTTCTCTATCTTGTTGTTTTCTGCTTTCTCTGTTTCTGCTGCGCTGACTTTGTAACACGTTCTTGAAGAACTGTACGCCGCCTCCACTTCCAGCGCACGAATCAAGGTATCAGATGATGTCTGATACCTTGATGGTTGTAAGACCTTCTTAACTTCAACGTCGCGAACGCCATTTATGAAGGGTTCTATCGCAAGCTTCTCTTGAATAGTCGGTGGTGCTTCAGAGTATGCTAGACGTACCATTTTTTTGACATCTGCGGCAAATTCTTGTAGAGATTCTCCAACTTTGTGTGTTCTTGTCCTTAATTGGGCCGCAAAAACGAAGTTCTAGTTAAGGCACTACATTTGCTTATATACAGGGTGTTATTGAAATACATGGAAACAAAAAATCTGGTGAATGTAGGGAACCTAAGAAGTCTAATGAACGTTTGTTGTTTTAGTAAAATTTTGAAAGGAAAATTTAACCCCTATCCAAACATTCATTCCTCCACTGATAAATAATGGTTTCACGAAAAAATGTGAAACCTAGTAACTGAAAACTGCCGAGGTGTAACTACTGTTGCTATTAATTTATTGCTAGCAACAAATAAACAATGACAATAATTAATGAACTGACAATTAAAACTTCAAAATCATAATTTAATCAACCATAAAATGAAACAAAACGTAACGTATGCAACTAGAGCAAGTTTTCAAAATGTCCACCACCATTTCGTATACACGCTTCCGCACGTCTAATCAATGATTGTTGCCTTGTTCATGTAGAGTTCTCCACACCACAAAAGGTGAAACTCCCACTCGGTAAGACAATCGTCTAATGCTTATACCTGGATCGTTTTCAACGACATTCAAAATTTCTTCTTCGGCATCAAGTGTCTGTTCTGTCCTTTCACGACCACGATCACTAAAACAAGGTCAAAATTTCCCATTTTCTCGTAGACGCTGAACAACGTTAGCACATGTTTTATGATTTGGCAATCTTCGTTCGGGAAATGCTTCTTGGTATAAACGTCGAGCTTCCAAGGAGTTTCTTAAGGCTTGTCCATACATCAGAACCATGTCAGTCATTTCAGAATTAGAAAAATTCATTTTGTTCTTCCAAAAAATTGCAAAAACGTCAAAAAATGATGGGCTAATAAATGTATTGTCATGTTAACAAGCAACAATTTTACCTACTTTAAATTACTATAGTGATCAAATTTACCTTTAACATTTTTGGAATCAGTAGCGCACACGCAAATTTTAACAGATTTTCAATCAATTTTATCTCGAAAACTAAAGGATTTTTATTAGATCAATATTTGATGCATAAATTCTCTACATCATGACCAATTACCTTAAAAAAAGTTTCCATCTATTTCAAAAATACCCTGTATATCTTCGTCAGACAGGGTTTGAAGTATCTCTAGCGCTATACCTCGCAAAGCTATTACTAAGGCTGTGGGCTTCTGTTCTTCTTCCCAAAGATTCGCTGTCGCTGCTGCCTCAAACTGCTTCTTATACGCTGACCACAATGTCTGGCCATCATAGGTGGGTGGTTGAATTGTTCTGGAAGCTGACGTCAGGTTATATGATCCAGTGGTAGCTGCATTTTTTATTATCTTTTCGAAGTTTTTCATTTTCTTTTCTGTTCTATCTTTTGTAATTTTAATGCGATCTTCCATTCATTTCTTGACTTCTTTTACTTTTTCTTCCATTCGAACCAGATTGCATCCCACAATTTTTTCTTTAACTTTCATTTGTTCTTTAATTTCCTCTATTTCATTCTTCTTTGCTTCCACGTCTATTTTTCGTCCATTTTTTCCATTTTTACGTCCATCTTCTAGTCCACTGCTTTGATTCTTGCGTCCGATTATTCGTCCATTTCCTTGTTTTTTCCATCCATTTCTTCGTTCATTTTCGCAAGCACAGCCGCCATCTGTTTTAGTTGTTCTTCCAACATCGCTGCAGTTTGAGTTCTCGTCTCGATCAGCATAAATTCTTCCGAATTCTTGTTCGATCTGCCCGCAGTTCGCCGTAAAACCACTTATTAAATTCAAATACCACTTCTGACACCAGTGTTACGTTGAACGGGTAAAACTTAATGGTTTATTTCTTTGTAGCTCAAATTTACACGATTAATAAATCAGCGACTATGAACAAAATAATTCCTACGCAAATTTTGTGGTTTCTCTCAACATTCGCTGGACTTGACTCGACTGAATCGTTCCCGAAGGTGGCCTCTATTTAAATCCATACTTCCTTCTAGATGTGCGGCGACCAGGGTCTTTCTGGAATTCATCGCGACTTCCACACATACTAGAAAAACCCATAGGCGTCGCACCGGAGCGGCGTATAGGTTTATTTCGTAATAGTATGTTACTCATGGAACTTTGTAGTTTTAGCCTTCGAATTTTTCTATATTTGAAACAACAATTATTGAGATATAGAGGAATGTTATACAGGAAAAAAATCCAGGAGGTTATTCCTCGGGTTAATTTAAGATTTTTTTGTCTTTGGGTGATTTGTGTGAAAGACGCGTTGTTTCGAAGATACAGGGCGATAAACACGGTTCGAAAAAACCCAAAATTTTATTAATTTATATGAGATGTAAACATTCCTAATACACTAAAACTCCTAAAAATGACTACTTCCAGTTATAATGTATTCTTCATTGACTGCCGAACTTTTTCGAAGATACCACTGTTGTTTCGTATTGCATTGCACCCTTCAATTTCTCAAATTTTCTTGATTTGCTACTAATGTTTTTAAATAGCTCCATAACTAAATATCCAACGGATTTAAGTCTGGGGTTCGAGCGAGGTTCACCTCAACCAATGGAGCGATGTTCGTATGTCCGGTATATTGTAGACAAAAAAATTTAATATAACCCAAGGAATAACTCCCTGAATTTTTGCCGCATGTTTAGTAAACATAGACAACGATGTGTAAGTTTAGTTCTCCTAGGGAATTTCTGGGTAGTATCTAGTGAGAGGGTGTGTAGAAGTTGGTTTGCTTAGTAGAGGGTTGAGGTAGCTAGCTTAAGTTTAGGTGGTTTGGTAGTTAATAAAAATGGAAATTACATCACCGAGAAGCTTTTTTCGCGACCCGGGATGCATTTTGTGTTTATTTACCATGTGTTTGTTTGGGGACAGTCCACGATATAACCTCCCAAAGCTAATTGTTTTAAGTAACCAGTCATTTGGCTCATGGCATAATTTAACATCATGTAAATTCTTTGTTTGAATCGTTGATAAAGTGTGGCATAATTTAATATCATGTAAATTCTTTGTGTAAATCATTGATAAAGTGTGGCAAATATTAACCTCATGTTATTTTGTTAGCTTTGCAATTTTTCACCTCATGAGATTTTTCTCTATCTCACAATTTTAGCCTAAGTAATTTTCTTTGCTGTATAAGTTAAAACGAAAGGAAGTTTTCATGCTCCGCTGTTCCTAACCTCACGTATTTTTTTTGTCTGCACAAGTTTTACTTCACACCAGATGTTTTTTTGTTTTTATAAGTCTTTACTAGTTTTTCTGACCACGTAAATATTTTGTTGATTAATGCTTCCATCATATAAATTATCTGATGTCCAATCTTAATCTCAGATAAGAATTCTTTGCTGTTTAAAATTTCGCGAGAGTGAATGGCAAATTTAAATGTTGTTTATTACTCTTTTTGAAACTTTAACACTTGTTTGGTTGTAGATTAATATCAGAGTTATAGAAATTGAACATTTAAATGGCATTGGGGTAAATAACACAGGAACATGTGGCAGAAGCGGAGGGCGCGGTTCCTAGTCCAGCTAGCGAGATTTATGGCGCCATCTGCACAGAAGACGCGGATGTTGAATAGAAGTAGGTAATTTTGTTGTGCTTTAGAATGAAACTGATATAGTTCGATCGCCAAACTCTTATAGCGACCCAGGTGTCTCCTCAACTTGAGGCGCTCTGGTGCCACTGTCGTTGTGCGCCCCCCTGCATAGTTTTATTAAAATTTTGTTTTCTTGTTGACTGCCATAATTTTTCATTTTTTTGACAGTTTTGACATACACAGCGAGATATTGAAGAAAGGACAAAAAATTGAGTAAAATGCAGCATTTAATAAAATACAGGTGACTCACTCTGTATAACGTTGATAGTTTTTTAAGAAGCACACTGATCTATCGAAAGAAAGAGAACAAAAAATAGAGTAAGGTGAAGTAAAATAAAAGAGGTTATTCTATTTAAAACTGATATTTTTAGTATTTTGGTATAAACATTCTGTATAGTAAAATTTACTTTAATCGATATCACAACAAAACGTGTACCTCTGTTTATCTCTCTGTAAAATAGTATAACACAGATTATAAAAATAATCCCATTGTGATTTTTTTTTGTATACCCTTACATCACTAAAAAATTCTCATCGAAATTTCAAAAACAACCTAAGTATGGTTATACAACCCACAACGAACCAGTCAGAGTATGTTAAATATATAGGGTGTTCTATTAAAAAAAAAAAAAAAAATGCTTGTTACGACTCAAAAACATATAACACTCTATATAGCTAAAAATATTGTTGCGAATATTACTCCAAGAAGCTTATAACCTGATGAGTATTTAACTTTTTTTCTATTTTAAATATAATTAATGAGATATAAGGACAGAGAGGTTAATAACTCACCCTGTATATTAATAACACTATTGGCACAAATTTTTAAATTTTTTTGCAAAAAATGAAGCGTCGTTTATAACAAATATGTGAGCGCAAAAATTTACTCGACTCTATTAATTTCAATAAAAAAATGTATATTAGATTTTTTCAGTTTGGGGCAGTTGCAGAAAAAATTTAGTATGTCATACGCGGGATATAACATTGCTGTGATAACGTGTATCATTTCTACACTCGTAGTGCTGTACCTAATAAATATATCTACCCCCTTATTAAGATAAATATCTACTAAATAACGATATCCTTGTTGATCCGTTTTCCTTTATTTTAGATTTTTTGTTGGTAGGTCCAAATAATTAAAGAAATGTCAACTGTGAACTGTCACATTCTTATTATTTTATTATTATTTGCAAAGAGCAAAAAATATAATGTTTGAAATATTTAAAAAACCTAATGTATTCTAATGGTAAAAATATATACGTAATTAATTGGTACTAAGTATAAAAATTTAATATTATAACTAGGATATCGAAATTTAAAAATTCTTGGGGCATTTTATCAAATAAATTCATATCAAGTATTATACCATAAAAAAAAAATAAAAAAAAAATCTATTCAACCTACTCAAATTGCAAGGCCCACTATATTTGAAGTAAAAAGTTGATGTCAATTTCGAAATAACTAAAGGTTATGTAATGTTTTGGGTCTTAAATTTCAGACTTCTACGTGTTCAAATAACTAATTGATATATTAAAATAGAACAGATATGATTCACATATCAAACATTATCCCAGAAAACATATTCTATTTGTTTTTTGAAAGGAAAACTCGATGCCATTGTGAAAAGAAACAAAAATGATCTAATACTGCACGTATATTCATTTTATAGATTCTCCAAATAACTGAAATATTATAGTGGAATAACTGAACTGGAACATCCAATAATATTACGTAGTTTATATAAAATGTTTAAAGAACCAATCGCTTTTTCTCTAAATTTTCATGTCTTCAGTTAGTAGCCAAATGTCCAAAAGTAAGGCGTTTTATATAAAAATGGCATATTTTTTTATAGATTAATTTTAAATGCTGTTGTTGATATGATAGTATGTAGAAATTTTCTATGCCGTCAAATAATACTAGAAATATAAATTATTACAAAATTTAGTGCATAAAAGTACATAAATTGTTTGACCAAGAAGAATCTATATTTTAGTTGGAGAACCATTTCCAGAACGCAAATATTTTACGAGCGCGATCATAAATTCAGACGTGAAATACTTGCCAAAGCCGCGTATTATGAAAACAGAATTACCTATTATCTCATCAACCTGGCTTTGTGACGATGTTGAACCTAAAACCGGTGCTAATTGGGGTGTATCATCTCTGACATGATCTTCAACGACCTTCTTCCACAAAGTGTAAATTTTTGCTTCGCATTTTACAACCATTAAGCCGTGAATGAAATGAGCCCTGTTTGTTGTTATTTCTATCCGAGACTTGGAAGAATGCAGACCTAGAGCGCTGTCCGTTTCAATCTCCATCGCGAAGAGTTTTACGCTTTCGTTTTCCTCCGTAATCTGAAATAACGTTAAGAGCCATTAGCAACTCGTTGAAAATTTTATCAGCCTAAGAAGAATAAATTCGACGAGATAGTTGCTCATATTAAACAACAAAATAACGGCGTGCTTCTTGAAGTTTGTATGCTCGGGGGCGTCTCAAAGATTTCTTAGACATAAATTGGACATGTCTGTAAACGCCGTAAATCGATTACGGTTACATGACTGAGCAATTGTAGATGTCAGAGAAAAACATCGCGACAGGACAAGAATTATTATGATAGTTCAACATCAATGATTTACTTCGGTACAACTCACAAATTACAGAGAGTGTCAAGTTTAGAAAGCGATATAATAATAAATAGCTGTATCACAAGACAAACATCTATAAATCATACGTTTAAAATTAAAACACGATATTTTGTACAAAGCTGTGCAAAATATAAAGGGGTTTCAAATTAATACATGTACAGTTTAATGCTTATCACGGTACCTCTGACATAAGAGAAGATTAGAATTTGATTAATTTTCGGATGCAGAGTCGGCTGGTGCAGTTAAAATCATTTTGCATACTACATCTCAATATATTTATTCATTGGATCAGAAACACAAAACAGACGCTATTCAGTTTTAATTTGATACTAGATGTTGTTCTATTTTTGAACTCTTGACAGAAAAAAGAACACATAATTGTTTGCTGCTTTTCCTAGCCAAATGTAAATTGCAGTAATTTGCAGGTTTTAACAGAATTTTTATAAAATTAAGTTGTGTTTGACTCATGAAGAATGATTTGCCGCAAGCTAGTAACCCTTGCATAGTGGGCACTTTCAGGAACAATGTATACATATATTCAAACTTATGTCGTGCATGTTCTCTAATTGCGAAACTCTGAGGTTTGCATGGATTATCTTCATACGTATTTAAAAATTGGATTTCTGATTATACATAACTCTTAGAATGCAAAAATTGCTTTAATCCTTATTTACATTACAAGTGGGTAACCACACGAGTAGTGTATTATGCTCTAGCCCACGAGTGCTGTACAATATTTTATCTGCGACTGCTGTGATAAGACACAAAACCAATAAAAATAAATATTTTACAAAAAATTTAAATTTGGCGTCAAAGTGCACTCAATTTTTTGATACCATCATTATGAAATTCGTGTCACAAAAAACGTAAAATCAAGCGTTGTTTGTGACACGAATTTTATAATGAGTGACTCGGACATAGAAGTGTTCCCTCAGATATAGAAAAAGCTGCGACCAGTGTTCTATCCGCGTTATTACCAGCAAATCAAAACAAGTATGAACAAATTTACGAGCGGTATCTGAAATGGTGTAACGTGAAAAAAAGTGCAAAATGTAACCAGTGAGGTTCTGTTGGCATACTTCGACAATCTGTCGAAAAAGTATAAATCCTCCAGTGTCTGGGCTTTCTATTCAATGCTGAGAGCGCCGATTTCTAAAAAACCAATGTTGACGTAAGCAAATGCGAGTAGTTGATTGCATTTTTAAAAAGGCGGTCGGATGGGTAAAGACCCAAGAAGTCAAAAATATTTAGAAAGTTAAGATTGGGAGATTCCTGAAAGGAGCGGACGTTAAGCAGTTTTTGCTTACTAAGATATGCCTAAAATGTCTTTAAATTATTTTAATTAATATTTCTCCAGGTTGCATTGATAATAATTTGCATCGCTGGAGCTTGCAATAAAGAAGCTTGCTTCTAGAAAATATTAAGGATGAAGAGTTGGTTTTCCATGTACAAATCTCGAATACCAAAACAAAACTTTCCAAAGAATTTTTTGTAACAGTTGGTGGTATCCAGGGACTTGACACTGTAGAAATAATTAGGAAATATTTGGCATTACGTCCTCAGTATACCAACCATTGAAGATTTTTTGTTGGATACAGGAAAGGTTGTTGTACAATACAACCTGTGGGCAGTAATACAGTATGTCAAAAAACATGGCTACATTTTTGAGTTGATCAGATCCTAAAGAGGACCCTGGGCATTGCTTCAGACGCTCTGCCACTTCCAGACCTCTTAACCATAAATTGCCATGGAGGCTGAAAATCGAATACAGTGGCGGGGGGGTACACTGATACATCAAAAGAAAATATAAAAAAGTTGTTCTTGTACTTGTTTGTTATTAACTTAAATAAAATGTTCCATCTCTATATTTATAAATTTATTCTTGAAGATCAAAATGAGTTGTGTAATGTCATTACACCACTAGTGAAATAATATTGAAGATTACATAACTCAAATAGCCGTCATAATAAGGAATTATCACGTAGGTAGCAGATAAAGTTATTTATTTATACAGAACTTCCCGCGTCCCTGAAGCACAGTCCAATGTCTTAGATGATTTATAAAACTTTATTCTGGGAATGTAGTCTTTTTATGATAAGTTAAAATAACAAGCTGTTGATAGGTGACCCCCACAGCAATCTTAAACATCCACCAAAAATTATTTATGTATAAGATTTATCGGTGTTCTAACAATAAATTAATAGTGTTCTACAACTATACCAAATTCGATAACTGATATCTTTCTGTAAAGGTAAAGAATGGCCGCACCTTTTAACATTTTAGAAGCGGAAACGTATACTGCCTAAATACAGTTTGTCCCACGAAGACAGAAACAGAACATCCCGTTTTACAACACTGGCAAAATTAAAAGAATTTTACTATAGTGATCATTTAACCCTTCCAGTTTCACGAACATCGTGCATGAAAAACAAGCATTATAATCTCATTTTTAGTTGAAAGTGTGGTTTTTGTGATATTTTTACTTCCAGAGCGTAAGTTAAGGAAGTACTGTAATCAAGTCCATCGGACGAATCGCTACTTTTATGTTTTCTCGACGTTTCATGAACCCCAGAATACGAAAACATAGGTTACTTGTTTCTGTCTGTCCGTCTGCCGTCTGATCATGCCCACCGCCAATGCGATGACGTAATCTTCAAAATTTACAATAGTAAATGTTATTTAAATTTTTTTTAAAATAACACACTCCTCCACTTGTTCTTTATGATTAGGTACGTGTTAACTTTTTAAACTAAGGATCCAGATTTTTGTAAAAAAAATCAAAATTGTGTAGCAACACTGTTTATTGCCTCCAAAAAATTGATCATCTTAAAATTTTGCCGAATAAATCCTATCGAAAATGTGCAAAATATGATGAGTCTATATTTGTGATTTATCATTGCATTCATATTTTTTAGAATTGCTTATATAGGGTGACTCAAAAAATTAATGAATATGTCAATTTATTTCATTGATGAAATCAGAAACTGCAAAAATGAATGCTTTAGAAGTTTACAAACCTTTTAAAGTTATCGTAAGCATGTTCAAATTTTAATCAAAATATATCTGTTTATCCCCCCCCAAAATTGAGGACATAATTTCAAAATTTTACCGAATAAATCCTAAATTTCTACTAAATCTAAATTATACAAAATAAATGAGGAAAATTTGGAAATGTAATACTGTTATTATTACACTGCACTTATCCAAATTGACATACATGTCCTTGAAAAAATGTTGATGACGTAATCACAAAATTTTGTAAAGTAAAACCTCATTTGAAATATACGCGTAGCATGGTTCTTTACATTTACTGTAATATTACACACGTCCTTATAAAAAAAATCAAATTTGTAATTCGTTCGAAAAAGCTGTACTGTTTTACTGTACTTCATGGGCCAGAGAATTTCTGTCAAAATAAACTTCGACCATTTTTTTTAAATTACAAACTAACAGGAAATTATTTATTTATAATTCTTTTATTCGTGTTTTAAAATTCTTCAAATGGCGTCTTCAATTGTTTTTTTAATTATGTTTCATAGATATAAAACTGTGGCTGTAGTTATTTAGGGATTTAGTGGACATATTAAAATTTTGAAGACTAATAAATGTCGATTATAAATTATTATACCGGGTGTCTGGAAAATGACGCTACGCTCTTAACAATCAACTGATGAGTCTGGGAAAAATTTAAAAAAAAATTCCATCTCATATTTTGGTGGAGTTATCATGATTCTAAAATTGGTTCTTTTGCTACGTTTAATAACTCAACAACACATTCATTATCATAACAACTAGTAATAAAACTTTTTGTTAATTTTTCTCTCGCCCATGACCATGTTTAATTACCATTTCAATTAGAATGTACAAAGATATGGTTGTGTTGTTTTTCTAATAATTTCATAAAATTCAATTCAATAACAAAGTTTGCCTGATGTAGAGCGAAGGTACAAATTAGCAAAAATCGAGTAAGCAGTTAAAAGTGTTTGACCTATCAAAAATTGTCAAAGATTTCAAAACCCTACGTTTAAAATGTTCGCGGTTAATTTTAGGTCCCCTGGTGTTTTATTTTCGGATAAATTTACAAGAATCTGGTGTTTTGTTGCTGGATGAACTTGAAAGAAACTTTTGAGCTTTTAGTGTTTTATTTTTTACGAATTTGAAAAAGTCTTGATTACCGCAGTGTTTTTTTAAATTCGGGACACTCTTGGGTACCCATGATTTATTATTTTAGGAACCCACGGAGATTTTTTTGTAAATTATTTAAAATAATTTTGGCGAACTTTGGTGTTCTATTTTTGGAAAATTCTGACCTGACCTGTTTTTGAGTTAATTTTGGGACCCCGTTTTTTTTTGAAAAATTTGAAACAATCTTGAGGTTCTAGGTATTCCTGTTTGGAAAGAACTTAAAAGTGCTTAGGAGCCTCTATGGTCTTTTGTTATAATAATTTAATTAATTTTCTTAGAGGATACATCATTTGCCAAAATCAGCCTTATCTTAGCAAGTACTACCCCCGCCCACCCACCCTCTTTTTTTTTACAAAAAATGATTAAAATTTTGAAACATTACGAGCTTACTTATATACCTTACATAAGGCAGGAATTTTGATCTTCTTTAGTGTTTAGTTGGTTATGCTTTAATGGATTTTTCTTTTGTGGGTTTTGTTTTCGTTTATAATTTATAATTGTCTTATTAAATGTTTTTTTTTTTG